GGAACTTCACACGGGCTGGAACTGAATCCAAAATAAATATGCGCAGTTCTCGCTGGTCTCGGCAGAGGCACCTTACCTGCAGCGATCAGTTCCTCCCCTCCCCCGCTGTCTGGCTGTTCCCGTCAGGCTTCCCCGAGGTCCCCTCAGACTGAGTCAAAGCAGAAACAACACCAAGATCAGGCCCTGAACATCACCATCGCCAGCATCAGTACCACCCCAGCATGGGCACAGCTCCAACAAGACCCACAGAGCAACTGGCTTCTTCCACTTCCCACGAAACCACCCTGAACCCATTACTGGTTCGCTCGCAGGCTGGTTCTTTTTTTTATTAACCCCTAATTTTTATTTCTCAAAAACGCCAGAAACTGTTCGGTGCCTGGAAGGCAAAGGCCTTTCCCTTCTCCCTGTGGCCAAGCTGTGCCAGCTGGCCGCCTGCTTCACCTACAAAGGAGTTTGCAGTTCGCCCACAGGACAGCCCAGAGGAAAAAAGGACGCCTTCTTACACGCACACATTTCCCAAAAAAACATCAAATTCTTAACTGGTGTTTTCACAACAGCCTCTATATATGTCGCTAGTGGCTGCTGGATTTTTACAGCTGGATGAAAGCTGCAGAGCTAGCCTCTCAGTTACTGTACCTGTGCGCTGGGCTGCTTGCCCGGGCTGCCAGTTTTCCAGAGAGACTCCACGGCCACATAGCCCCGCAGGCTCCAGTCGTACAGGGCGTCACCCGTCACCTGAGGACAGCAAGTCACCCGAGTCAACGAGGAGGGCGGCAGAGCTTGACCCCCGAACAACACCGTGACCTGTGCCCTCCGGACTGAAAACTCGGCATTTTCATTTCTTGTCTTGAAAATAAAGGCTTGAACTCCTAAACTCACAACTGCCAAAAAAGAGGATCTAGCCCGCGTGGTAGTAGGTACTTAATCGATCCAAGCATCTCATCCATCCGCTTTTTGAAAGAAGCCAGGGTATCAGCTTCAACAACGTGTCTGGGCAGTTTGTTCCGGGCCCCCACTACCCTTTGTGTAAAGAAGTGCCTCCTATCGTGATCCAAAGATCTCATCCGTTTTTTGAAAGACGCCAGGGTATCGGTTTTGACCACATGGCCAGTGTTTGGTTCTGGTTTGAGAAAGAGCCCGGGGGTTTTTTTACCCTCCCTAACCGTTATCTGCCTGCCAGGGTGGGGGCAGGAGGCGTGAGAGACCCCCCCCAACCCCCTTCCGCCTTCTTTGGCGCCAGTCCTGTGGAAAATCAGCCCTGTAGTTTTATTACACAGCTTCCCACAGACACTGCGGGCACATAAAACAACAAACAGGCCCGACCAAAGGAAAGCCCTCCTGCTGTGTAGCAGGCAGGCGGGTGGGGTACAAGTCCTAATCTCCTCTCGTGCTACGGCACACAGATGCCATGCATGTTTCCCTGCCCCTGCTGATCTCGTGCACAGCTCCTGCCCAAACCTGTTTTGCCTTCAAGCACAGAGCATTCCAGCCTTGCAGAAGCAATTTGGAAAGTGGAAGCATTTATCAGCTACTGGTGAGGCTTAAACCTGACTACAAACGCCTTTTCCTTGCATTCAAAACGCTGTAGCCAGGTGAAACTTCCATCGGAGCGATGGATCTGAAAGTGCAAAAAAGACTTTTCTTTTGCGGCAGAAAAATCCAATCCCGCAAGGGGAAGGAAGGAGGCTTATTTTTATCATAAATGATCACAAAGTACGATTCCCCAAACAGTCCTACAACACCAGGATCGAACATCCCATGGAAACAAACCGCTCCCTTCCCCTTTCGGGAGACGGCCCACCGGAGAGCTGCGGAGAGCTTCCGGTTTGCATAATAATAAAACGGATAAAAATAATCTCGATTTCTGTGAAAACAACCTCCAACACACCAATTGCGATCGTCATTAGGGAAATGTTTCATAAGGGAAGTGTTTCAAGAAAAAACACACACACAAACACTCCCATCACCTGTCACAGATATGTAATAGGCCCTACAGTGGACTGGCGTCCCATCCAGGGTGTATCCTGCCTCAGGCCCAGTGTCTGCTGGGCCACCATAGCCCTGAACTGGACAAGCGGTTATGGAAAGTGAGCGAGTCAGATTTTCGTAATGAAGAATTCAGCTTTGAGGCATCTCTGCCTCAACATTACCCAGAAAGGGCGGACAGACAGAATGACCTCTCGGCAGCCAAGGGGTGGCTTCTCGATCAGCAACCAGTCCCCTGAAAGCCTGAAACCACTCTCGCGGCTGAGCAGCAGTTGCTCCCTTCCTCAAGCGAGGAGATTCAATTCAATTCAATTCAATTCAATTCAACTTTATTGTCATTAAACTTACACAGGTGCATAGTATACTGAAAAGTGTTTCTCATTAGTCACTCAGGTGCAGTATATTAATAGGACAGAAGATAAGACAATAGACAGTAACACAATAGCAATAACAGTAACATAAATAACATGTAATCAAGTAATCAAAACTGTGCACAATTCCGCAAACAGAGAAAATATAACAGGACAAAAACAGTGCAAGGTAATTCTTGGAACAGTGCAAAACACGACGCCCGAACAGGGACATGAACCCTGGGGACCCTCAGATTAAAAGTCTGATGCTCTACCGACTGAGCTATCCGGTTGAGAGATGACCTGCAGCACCTTTCCAGGCAGGCAGGCACAGCACTACGAGAGACGGAACCCTACCTTTGCCATTGTAGCAGCCTGCTGAGGGTAGTACAGGGAGGCCCCAAGGACCATTAAACTGGTAGGGTACACCAACTTCTTGATCCTGGAACCTTCATCGGAGAGGAGAGACCCGTCACCAATGAGAGACAGACAGCTAGGACTGGCATGAAAAATAATTTACCTAATTAGATCTTTAAGGATCACCTGCTCCAGCATTCACTCTGGTTGCTGTCCTATTTTTCTTGAGCAGTGCACTGCTTGACAACCCAACCACACTGTATAAGAAGTGGCAGGCAGCAGTAAACAGACCATGCCACGGTGTACTGACAATAACGTCTTACTGTGCAGCGTCCAGACCGCAGTACAAACCAAGTCTAAAGCATCAGCACAAAGCCTTACTGTCCCTTAATTTTATGCTACACAGAGCACACCAGAGCTGATTACTGCAAAGCTGGGCAAGAATCTGTTTCTAATTCAGCAGCAGGGAGGGGGGCTACTTTTTAACAATCTCTTGAAGGCTGTAGCCTTACCTCTCGCTAGGAAGAGTCCTAAAATGCCAGCAAAACCGATGACACCAGCTCGGGGGTAGAATCCTGGGGGCGGGTCTTTCAGGAACTCGTAGCTGTCTGCGAGGAAACGGGTTGGAGGACTGCTCAAGCTCTGTATAGTGCAGAGCATCACCATGCACGATATCAGCCTTCTGCACATGTGCACTTCTGCTTTAAAAACACAGCGAAACAGTCTGGCTCTCTCTCATCATGCCCGTTCTCACGGCACACACAGCAGCTGGCTGCGGGATCGTCCGCGTCAGGCCCAGACGGATGCACGCTTTTATTTTCCGCGCGCGAGAAAGCTATCTCTGCGTCAGGGCTTAAATATCACAGGGCTGTGCAGTCAAACTAGAATGACAACAGGCTGAAGGAAATGAAGGAATCAGGTCCAAATCGCCAAGGTCCTCTCAAAGCCCATAACAAAGCTCCTCACAGCAGCAATTATTCTCATGCTGGTCAGTCATTGTGCAACTACGTAAAAACAACACAGAAAAAAACATGACAGAAACGTTCCAATACAATTCAGGACAGAAACCGGCTCTGATATCTAACTTTAACTCTACTATGGATTCCTGGGGGTGCAACAAGAAAGGGAGAGAGGAATATAGCCGACAGCTTGTCGCTGGGCTGTATTGGCCGACAGAGCTGGAAGAGGCCGGGGGACACTGCCAGGAGCCCTGTGATCCAGCGCAGACAGGGGACAGTGCACGTCCCGTGACGCCGGCCAGCTGGCGGGGTCAGCGTGACTGAGGGGCTTGGGGAGAATGGCAGGAAGTGCTTCCTGAGCGAGGACTCGTGCCATTCCCAGCCTGGCACGGAGGACAGCCCAGGCACGGGCGCGTCTCACCTTTTCCCAGCTGGACCGAGCTTCCGATCTTTGGTCTCGCTGCTGTGCACACCCCCTGAAGCCCAAACCAAAAAGACAAAAGAGCAAAGATTAGAGGAAATAAAAACCACAACAGAAGGACAGCATCGGGAAACTAGGGCCACTTCTTTTTTATCGAAGGCAGAAAGGACACACTGATTGGTAGAACTTCTCCTGAAACTTATCAAATCCCTCCTCTCTCTGGTTAAATACTGGAAATCAATACACCAAATCTACCGTAACGAGCCGACTGGATAAACTACGAAGTTTTATGATAACATTATGCAAGTGCACAGCCCCTGCAGTCACAAAATGCCTTATGTGTACTAACAAATCAGCCTCTGTTAGCAAAGGTTGTTCAGGCTCAAGCAATATGGACAGGGAATGTGTGACAGCCAATGTGCAGCACAGAACTGGCAGCAGCTCAATATATTCTCAGAAGACAAGCTAATTTAGCCACTACAAGACCCATGAAGACCCAGGCAAACTGAGTAAATGCCAAAGGACAGAGTAATAAAGTGAGCAACGTTTCATGCTCAGGGACGCTCAGGAAACAGCAATATAAAAAATCAAACAGAGTTTAAAAGCCGACGTGAACCTCAGGCTGTTTGTCGTGAGTGAGCGCACTGACCATGATGGCAATTAGACTTGACAAATTTGGGACAGAGCTGGCGAGGGGGGCTGGTCTCTCCTTCATGAAAGCGCAGGGGAGTAGAAGACAATCCAGGAGAACCAGCAGCCCTGCCTGCGGCCGTGGACGGAAACCCAGGCCAGCGCCTGCTCTGAAACAGGACTAGGAGTCTGGATGGAGAGCAAGACTGGCAGCGATTCACAAAGCATGAAGGCTGCAGGCGGTGTCGATGTACAGGAGAATAAGGAAGGGACCGGAGCCGAGCCAGGTATCTGCCCTCAGGGATTACTGATTTTATCTAACAAAACTATAAGGTCTTGAAATTGAGTTTTCAGATTTTAATTTGGGGCTTATGACATGCTGGCATGGAGAATACCTATGGATAATAATGATAATAATGTTTCTTTATTAGCCCTATACAATTTCTTGCATTAGGAATTCGTCTTTTCCCATACCCCAGCTTGCTCTCCATGAGACACATAGACAGGGAGAGAAGCTGGGGGTCAGAGCACAGGGTCAGCCATTTATACGGCACCCCTGGAGCAGCTGGGGTTAAGGGCCTTGCTCAGGGGCCCAATGGAGTAGGATTCCTCTGCTGGCAGCGGGATTTGAACTGGCAACCGTTCTGGAAGGCCGGTGGATCTGCAGGGTATCCCTGTATCTCTGTAAAGCAGCTGGCGGAAGCTGTTAAACTGCTCCTGTTAAACCACTAACCAGCTGGGTTAGCTCATTAACAGCTAGAATCAAAACTAGCAGATATACTGGGCCCCTGGGAAAGGATCAGACACCCCTGCTTCGCTTTCCATCTGCAATTTAATCCTGCTGGATCTCCAACACCGCATTCTTCCTCACACGAACAGGCCCACATCAACCCAGCTGGCACCTGTCCTGCATCTCAGTGTGATACCTACTGACAGAACACTTAAATGACATGTCTCCAAATTTCAGATTGCACTTTGATACCTGCGCTCTCTCCACTGCCATGTGGCCCACTTACTGAAACAGAATAAGAACAGAAGCGATATCAAACAACAAAAGCCCAAAGCGGACAAAAAAAAAAAATCAAGCTACAGCAAGAGGCTCCCCTTTACTGCATCTCGCGCTGCAACAGTAAATCCCCGAAGCATCATGCACTGCTGTGGCTATACAATCTGCTGCAGCACCCTGTCATGCCAAAGAGCAGAGCACAAAATATCAGTGATGGTCACAGCATTCTGGGCCTTTGCATTTGTTGTAGATTAAATCAACTTTGATTCAAGAAGCCCGTTTTTCCTTTTTTGGGTAGCTGGGATCCCTGCAGCACGATGCTTGTGGTTAACTGAGAGAGCAGCGATCCTTCTGCCATGGGACTCTGGCTCCTGTCAAGCTCAGTGCCAGCGGGCCGTACCTGGCACCAGGAGGTGTACGGTTCTGCAGATCTCCTCAGCACCGAGACGCCCTGCTCCAGCTGGCTGACCTCGGGCTCCACGAACTTGTACTTCTGCTGTGGTGTTGTGTACAGAGACAGCTGGAGAACACAGGAGCACAGGGGCCACATTAAAGGGATTTGCTGATGACTGGACCAACTCCTCCGTCTGTCTGTCTCAGGTTTAGCTGTCTGAGTGGCTCTAGATAAGTCCAAATCCTCACTGACCCTCCTCCTGTTCAAAACAAATCTTTTTTCTTATGAAGCTTCTTTGAGATACTGCAGTACGAGATGCCCTTTATTATTGGAAATAAGCATTCGTAATAAATCATGTGCCAGTCAGACTGAGGATAAAAACAGCATCATTTTTTCTTGCACATTTTCCAAGGGTTAAGAAAAAAATAAACATATAAATATGACATTATCCTAAAGTAAAAATATTGCATATACTGTAAAACCACCTGGTTTTCAGTGTTTACTGACATGCACATATGCTTGACGTATGTTTGATTACAGTCTGATGGCCAGTCTTTTGTTACAATTTCAGAATTTCAGCACATTATGCCTGCTTGTCTTTAAAAAGAAAACATCTTTGTTATTCACAGAGTGAAAGGTACTAATGATCTGCTCCAAACCGCAAGAGGGAAAGTTAAAGGTTTGCCCTCTAGCAGTGCACAGGCTAGGACAGTCTGATGTGACTCCAGAATCAGGACTCAAAGATTGACCTGCCTGGGTTGTGTGTGAGGCCTCCCTCGCCATGTGTAAGCTATTCTGTCTGCAGGTGTCTGACCTCAGGGTGTGGCACAGGAAAAGGCTCAGCCGAGGGTGCAATACCTCATCCGTCCTCAGGGGGGCGCACTCCTGCTTGTCCTCGCTGGCGGCACACACCCTCCCCTCTGCCAGGCTCAACCCTCCAGGCACGGCTGCCAGCCACGCCACCTAAAGAAACACACTGGCAGTCAGGTCTGGCACAGAAATTGGCACTTGGACCTGGATTCTGGGAATGTCGTCGACTAGCCACAACAGGACGGTTAGCGAGCCCCGTACCAGCAGCAGCGGGAACTCAAAGTGATTGATACGAAACTCAAAACTGGGCAAACCCCAGCAGATGGCATTTAAGTGCAGAATGTGACTTGCAGGGAGGGGGAAAAATCGGTGCATACAAGACAAAGAACATGGATCGGGTGTTAAGGCCGACACTTCATTTGAACTTCTAGACAAAGAGGGGAATTTAAGAAAAGAGGCCTTGCTGCCTCTTCCCGCACTGCCACGGCTGTCCAGGGCAGGACCTGACCCGGGTGGACTACAGCGGAGAGGAGCATCGCCGCCCTCATCTCCTTCACTGAAAGGACAATAAGACAGTGTTTTCAGACAGGCGGCTCCTCGCCGGCTCTCTGGGAGAGGCTGCGCCTGTGGAACGGCTCCGAGACGGAGCGAACCAGCCTGACGCCGGCTCTGCGGCTTCGCGCGGCAGAGGAAGGAATGACCCCCCGCCCCGGGGAAGGACGGGGGGGGTGGGGGGGTCGGCGAGAGTTCACCGCAGGGAGGGCCTGAGTCACACATCCCACAGAACGCGCTGGCCGGAAGGGGGAAACGGAGCAAGTCAATCAGATCCCACCTCGGACACTTCAGGCTGCACAGGACCGGCGAGGGAGGACAAAAGCTGGAAGCAATCCGATCGCTCTCTCACAAACACGGAGGAGAGCCCGGAAACGCAGACCCTGCTGGAGTACAGGGAAAAGCCACAGCCATTCTAACAAAGTAGGAATCGCCATGAGAGTCTGTCGTCTTTTTCCTCCACTGCTCTACTGGGGCAGGTTGGGACAGGGACTGTTTAGCACTGCGGAGGGTCTTTGGTATATCATGTATTGTATTTTTAGAAAATACAGTGCATGGAGGGATTCTCTCGGAGAGCGGTCTAGGATTTATCTGAAAAATGATATCCTTGAATACTAAGATCTGTGTGACATCAAGAAGCCTCAGCCGTCACTCTCGTCTGACCCGCACAGATCTCTGCACTCCGGCGCTGGTCCAGAACACCTCCTAACCCCAACAGGCTGAGACCATCACAGCAAATCACTATTTCCTAAAAGGGACAAACTCCTAAAACTCAACCACCTAGACACCAAACGCCAGCAGGAAGGTCCTCAGGTAGCCTCCTGAAAGATTTACAGAACACATCAGGAAGAACATGTTCATAAAGCAAGTACCACCGGACTTAGTTAACACCTGTGTTTATCCTACAGGAAATAAAACACAGTGAAGTTTGAGGTCATCACACTGGCTGGTTTTCAAAAGGCTGTGGCAAACATACAGTGCCTTACAAGTAGTATTCAGACACATCCCATGACATTCACACAATGGTGCCTGCACATTTTTCCAAACGTAAGATTGTGTTCAACATCCGGAATTTCAGATTGAAGACTTCATTTATCTTATCTTACTTTTGCGAAGCACTGTAATGTGATGTCAACATTTAAAAAATGTAGTTCAGACGGGCAGCTGCGTCAGCATGCGTAGGCTGCAAAGGAACAAGAGGTTTATTCCCTGCTGAAAAAAAGAAGAAAGAAAACACAACGTTTCGGCCGTGGAGCCTTCTTCAGGTGTGAGCACATTTTAAAAATGTGCCTCCTCAACTTCAGGTGTGTCTCCTTATTAAACGAACAGGTGTAAGAGGGTGCTGGTCACTGTGTGACGAATGTGGCCACTGGGGAGTCGAACAGGCACACGACAGACCTGATTCTTAACATCTCAGAGCTGCAAAAGCCAGCCTCATTAACAGCAGTGTGGCACAGCGGTCACAGCTCTGGACTGATAACGGGGGAGCTGTGGGTTCAAGTCCCAGGTGAAACACTGCTGCTTCACTGACTGTTCCAGTAAAATACCCAACTGTGTGTACACATTTACTAATGGACTTGGCTTAAACGTTTGTAAGTCAATTTAGACAAACGTTTAAGCCAAGTACATTAGTAATAGGAAACCCCTATTCTTCAAACTAACTTTCCACTTCCACACTGGGGTAAGTAATTGCTTTGATGACTGTGTCTTAAATCATCTAACTCAAAACGGCACCACGGCCTTTGTCTTCTGGGACGAGTAAATGTTACCTGAACTTCTAAGAACTATGCCCAACACTTAAAAAAAACCCACCTATACAACTAATAACCGTTTCAGACACAGGGTGCCAATAGGAATGTCTGCAGCTGCGAAAGTCGTGCATATTAAGCAAATGTATAAAATAACACTAAGAATATAACAATGCTTATAACACTGTGGCTAAGAGCTCGTCCTGATCTGCAGCTCTGCGCGTCTGGGGCAGGTGGACGTCCATGTGGAGTGATTAATACACAGCACAACGCGTAAGTGGCCACTCCTGTAGACCTGCAGCCTGATCTGCCTGCCGCTGGCGCTAGGAGGTACAGGAGTCAGGAGGTCTTTAATATGAAAGGGTCATGGTAGCCTTCTAATATCTCAGGCTCGTCCTGTTGTTAAACGCTGTAAGAAGGCAGGGAAACGCCAACAGTGCGGCGCCGGCAGTACGGTCTCGCCGATCTCCAGACAGTAAAACACAATATGTTTCACATTTGAAAACACCCCGACTTCGTATGTTTCTGAGCCTCGACAATATCTCCCCCTAGCGGACAAAATATATACTTACAGCACCAGGAGAACCGCAAAACGTGGGTCTGGTTTTCTCAAACTAACGCATTTATAAAGCGCCACTGCAAACCCCAAGACGCCGTACATAGTGATAAAGGAGAAAAAAATACAAGAAAAAGCAAGAAAAATGAAACAAGAAAAAACTGCAAGGCAATCAGACGCAGGCCCTAGTAAAAATGTGAGTTTTACCTTGAGTTTAGATTTGAAAAGAACAAGATTTATTCCTGGGTACAGTGAGCACAGGACCAGCCTCAGCTGAGCGGAGCCAACAGGAGGGAGTGGAACCACGGAGGAGTTCAGAGATGGATGATGGAACCAGACAATTTGCAGCCTTAAAAGTCAGTAACAAGATCTTATATTGTATACTTGACTTTATGGGCAACCAGTGCAGAGATTTAAGAATAGGAGTGATGTGCTGTGAGGGTCTGGTGTGAGTCAGTCATCTGGCTGCAGTTTTGGACATACTGTAGTGCAACCTACGGAGAAGAGTGTTAGGGAGCCACAGAGTAAAGAGCAGCAGAAATCAAGCGTTGGTGTTATAAATGCAGGAATCAAGCAGGCAGAATCAGACATAGATAGCAGTTGTGTATTGTGAGCAATTCTTCTAAGATGAAAAAAGGATGTCTTTATCAAATCTTTCATGTGGGGCTCAACAGAGGGTCAGTGCGACAGATGCCGGACTACGGCTGGCCATCTTGGGAAGCCATCACCATTACTGGGAAGTTTTCCAGCTTCTCATGTGGACATTTGCCGTCCACCAGTGAAACGTCTATTCAGCTTCAGGGAACGTGTTGTCAACCAGAGCTTGAGGTCACGCAGACAAGAGATGATAATAATAATAATAATAATAATAATAATAATAATAAACATTGTATTTTATATAGCGCCTTCAAAGGTGGCTTCTCAAAGCACTTTACAGAATGACAACAACACTAAATAAAAAGAATACGCAACATAAAACACAATTACAATACACAGAGGAGACCGTGGATGGTGGTACTAAGTATAGTAGAAGCAGAGGGGTAAAGAATGGAACCAGTTCAGTAAAGGCTCTTCTAAAGAAGAAGGCTTTGAGTCGGAATTTGAAGGAGTTTAGAGAAGGTGACTCTGATATCCTTGGGGAGAGAGTTCCAGAGCTTTGGGGTATAACAGGAGAAGGCCCTGTCACCCATACAATGTAGACGCGCTTGGGGGACAGACAGGAGACCAGAATTAGAAGAGCGAAGGTTGTGAGGTGGGGAGTAGGGCGATAATAGATCAGACAGGTGAGCATCAGGCTTTTAAAGATGACATGGAATTGGATAGGAAACCAGTGCAGGGACTCCAGGATAGGAGTAATGTGATCACTTGCACTAGACCTGGTCAGGTCCAAAATTTTGGACATACTGGAGTTCATTCAATGTAGATTTAGATACCCCTAGTGAGTTAGAGCAAGAGATAAGTGACAGAGATCAGAGGAGGAAGAAGTTTTAACGTAAATCTGAATAGCATCTTCGTGACAGTGAGACTGAAGACCATGTTTGTGTACGATCTGCCCAAGAGGAAGCATGTAAGTAATAAAGAGCGAAGGGCCCAAGACTGAACCCTGCAGCACACCGTGATCGACTTGGGGCCATGGGGGATTTACAAGGACCAAGACAAACAAAACACTGCCTACCAGTCGGACAAGAGTGAAACATGTTTAAGACAGTAGCATTGATAGACAAATATGAATGATTTACCGTATCAAAACCACACTAAGATCAAGAAGAATAAAAAATATCTCCTAGCCCCAAAGTAAGACGCAACAAGCAAATTACAATTTAGAGCTGCACCTGTAACATGCATCAAGCTTTAATGGATACAATTTAAATGTTTTATCTTTTATTTCTTGGTGTGTAAAAGATTGAGAAGTTTGGTTTTCTGTAAAAAAAGGGTATAACGGCTTGCCTTTCCAGCACAGGTGTGTTTTGTTCACAGATGAATACAACAGGGTCAGGCACGCAGTGGGGGGAGTTGTTGAGACTGCAACACGCTGGCTTGAGGCAGAATTCAATCCTGTTTAAACCCTCTGTTGCTCAGGCACACCTGCCTCTGTGTTGTTTTCATAGTTCAGGCCGGCATGTTATCATCCCTATCTGCTGTATATACTGTAGCAAGCCTTGCGAGTTCAATTCTCTACATACTGAGGTTCTGATGGCCTACAGTTTCAAGGTGGTATCCTTTTGCAGCAGCAGCTTAATAAGTCTTTTCGAGAAGGAATCTGATACAACCCTTGAGCGATAACACATCACAGCGTATCTCTGGGTAACAAAATCAGCTCCCATTACAGCTGCTCCTTCTACACCAGCATAGAGTAGCATGTGTCATCCGAGCCCCTTGTGGAAAAGCAACAACAAGGCAACGTCGCTCCGTTTTAATCCTTTATTTAATGAGATATGTCGGCTGAGAACAAATTCTAAGTCAACGACGACGAGCTTGGCCAAGAGACCCAGGCCATTGCTGCGCAGAAGACAACGCGATGAAGGAAAGACAACGGCGATCGACAGAAAGAAAACCAGGTACCAGGCTATAACCGAACAGTGTTAACAAGGGCAAGTGTCAGGCAGGAGAGTTTCAATCACACAAAGCTGGACAGCCTCAGCTCTCTCCCTGCACGCTGGTCCAGTCACCGCCACCGTCACAAGCATGACTCGCCCCCAAAGCAGGTAGTTGTTACTAAGGCAGCAAATGGAATGACCAATAGAGCAATACTCCGACGAGATACACTGTAGATTTCTGGTTAAAATTAAAAACGCTCTTTGAGCTAAGTGTTTTAGCCAGCCAGTGTCACACAAGTGTAGGAAAAACAGCTAGGAACGACTAACTTCCTGTCCCTACAGCTGTAAAACCGAAACCTGGACGGCACCAGTCAGGTGATATTTTGCGACAAGCTAACGGGTCTCAATCTATTTCAAAGCATCTAGGCGGCCAGATCCGGAAGAACTGGGATTCCGGGTCCTCAACATAGCTGGGATGAAAAACGATGGCGAGATGAACACCTTCCGAGATAACACAGACAAAGGCGCAAGCCCACGATTTTCAGCTGCTGGTCAATACTTATCAAAAAGCATCAAAACGAGGCCGGGTTGGGAACTGCGTTACTGGCAAATTCTGCAAGCATTAAAGCACGTCCTTCTTGGATATCTTACTACCAGCATGGCTAAAACCCTCTCTTGTGCTGTACCGCCCTACTGCTCAGACTTCCACTGTAACACGACACTTTATTACAAAACCCAAAGTTAGAAAAGCTCCTTAAAATGCTTCTGTTTGAGGACATAGCATCTTGGATTGCATCTCCAGTACGACTGAATAGACATATTTTTTTTTGGCAAAGTTTGTTCTCACCTTGTACATAGTCCTTCTCAGCGGCGCCATGCGATACGTCCTACGGCGGCCGAAGACGGACACACCTCCTCCGCGCACGGCCTCGCCTTGGCTACACAGCGCCCCCGCCTGGCCGCCGATCACAGGTGCACCGACACGTCAAGGTTGTATCCCCTAGCAACACACGCAAACGCAGCGTAGAGATTGCGCGCACCCAGGACCCCGAAACTAATGCAAAGCGCAAAGCACCCCTTACGTTTTTTCGAGACATGTAGGGAAATTATAGAAGAACGTTTCCAAGGGCACGTTCAACCGTTTAGCATTTATGATGTAAGTACTCGCTTGCACTGTTTCTCTTTAAAAACTAACCAAGTTTTTTTAATGGAGAATTGTGTTAAATGACCTACGAAATAGTTTTTTTTTTCTCCGATCCGGAAAGATATTTTTCTTTTTCTTAGGCGTTTTTGTCTATTCATATCCTTATTTTTCGTTTTTTTTTCCCGTATATAGGACGTTCTGTAGTATACATAAAACAAGTCGGATCTGAATGGGTAACAGTCTCCCGAGCAGACGTACAGTGGGTAACATCGTGTCACCACTGGTGATAACTAAAAAGGCATCCTCTTAAAAAAAAAAAGCACAGCTCGCTATCAGTTTTTAGCTGTGCTCTGACCGGCTGTGCTTACCATCATTGGAAAGGTATTTCATATTATGATTCAGCAACTATTATTATTGCCGAAGAAGTGTTCGCGCTGCGTCTTGGTTTATGCCACGCTGGAAAGAAAAGAGACACCCCGTTTGGACTGCAGGGCTTTGTGCGTGTGCTCCTTTCCTGTCTGCGTGAAATAAACCTTTGCCCGTTCCGTGAGTTGCATCTGTTTGCCTCCATAGTGAACTGCGTTCCTCCCCGTGTGCGTCCTTCACTGTCCTTTCCCCAGACGACCACATGGACCACATGGACCTCGGTGCCGCCGCCCGCAGGATCCAGCGGCGCTGGCGCTCGCACCGGGACCGGCGCCTGTTCCGCCTGCTGAAGCACACGGTCTGCGCGGCGGTAGGGAGGGCGCGCCGCAGTGAGGTCCAGCCGGACCCTGTCTGAAGTCACGCACGGCTAAATCAAACCCTGGCGCTGGCGTGCCGCTTCAGGGTCGTCACAACTAGGTTTCTGCTGCAAACGGTTCAACGTTTGCAGCACAAGTACTGAGAGAAAGAGAGAGAGAGAGAGTAGTTCTAGGATTGGGGGCAGGGGGTAAAGGAAGATTAACTGCAAACAGGATCACAAATAGAGGTTTAAGTGAGGCCCTGCCGAAATAACTTGATTTTGTTTGCTTGAGCGATCTTGTGAAGTCAGTATGTGTGTCGTGAAGGGCTAAGTCTCTTGACCAGGACGATTTCACATAATACCAAAAAAAAAAATATGTTCTTAACTGGGTCAATTATGTGTTAATATAAGTATGGAACAAGTCATAGGTTTATTCCATGCCGGAAAAAAAAAGACAAACACGTTTCGGCCGTGGAGCCTTCTTCAGGTGTGAGAGATATATTAATATATATTTACGATTAGTTCTAGTGCGTTTGCCCACAGAAAAAGAAACCTTCTGTTGTTGAGGATGAAACTGGTGTGGAGATGGAGCTGCGGGGGTCCGCGGTGGGGAAGGGTTTGTGTGATGCGCTGTCCGTCCCCCAGGAGCACTGCCTGACCCCAGAGGTCCTGCGCAAGGTCAGCCCCCGCGAGGCCGAGCTGCTGAGGGACCCCAGCCTGCAGTGCACGGTCCGCTTCAGGTACCGTCCCCCTGCGGGGGCTACAGGCGCCTGACGTGATCCCACAGACTCCGGCTCCCCCCCGGCTGATCCTGCGGGTCCTCTCGTACCGAGCAGGATAGCTAGTGCACCCAGACATCGTCCGCAGGGTAAAACGCACCCGTCTCACGGCGTGGCTGATGCCAACCGACCGCACAATCCAGGAAGGGTGATTAACGAGTCGAACCAGCAGACGACACTGTGAACCAGCAGGGCTGTAACCCTGATCTGTAGGCCTGAACACAGTCGCCCCACAGCTGCAGAGGGTGTGGAAGGGCAAACACCAGACACCGTCGTACAGGAGCCAGTGACGGGAAACGAGCAGAAAACACTTCAGTACTTGTTGGCTGTGCTTTATTCTTATAATTGATGTGGCACTTTAATTCTAACTTCAAAACGAGTAGAACTTGTCAAGAAATTCGGGATCAGCCCAGATTTTGGAATCACATTACATTGCGTTTTGCATTTAATTTTAGAAGTGTCATAACTTTTTTATGAAGCACCTTTCCAAACCCAAGAACGCTGTACATGGTGATAAAGGAAAAGACAAAAAATAAACGAAAAAGTAAAAGAATGCAGGTTCATACAGATAGGATGTAGGGCAATCAGACACAGGCCATGGTAAAATTTTGAGTTTGGATTTGAAGCTACCTACAGAGCAAGCAACACACAGGACATAATATTAAGTATTAAACTGGAAAGTATCAAAACAGCTTCTAATTGAGCCTGTCCTGGGTTTCAATTGCAGGTTTTGTGGTTCAGAGTTCCCTCCTGTGATTGTGTTCAAGATCTTTCACCACAGAGGAGGGGGCAAATACTTCAGTGGGAGCGCGATCCGCCCGGCGAGCGAGGTAATCCAGCTCCCGCAGAGCACGCTCCCTCCCCAGCGCCCCGCCGCGCATGCCCATCTCGCCCTGGTCTCCCTCTCTCCCCCCCAGGCCGCGTCTGACGCCTGCAGGATGATGGGCAGGAGGGCCTTCTTCAGCCAGCTCAGGCTGGACAACGCCCAGCGGGCGAGGTGGAGGATAGTGGACGTGGCCGACGTCACGTGCGCGAAAGACTACATGCAGGTGGAGTACAGTCTCCGCCGTCTAGCGGGAGCGAGATACGGCGCGCGTGCAAGTCAGGGCCCGGCCCTGCTGCGCTCTGGCCGCTGAGCTCATCCTGCTTTCAAAGAACAGCGGCGAGGGCGGGAAAGACTAGGCCTGACCGAGCAAACCTCCTGTCTGCAGTACAACAGCCACCTGGACGAGACGCCGGCGTGCCTGGGAGGACGAGAGAACACCTGGAGGACCCTGTCTCTGGAGGGGCTGCGCAGAACTCCCCTGGCATGCCCTGCAGACCCCGCCCTGTTGGGGGCGCTGTGGCACAACAGGGCAGGACCAAACCAGCCTGGGCCCCCTCAGCAGCTCAGGTAGGACCGCGGACTGGCCTTCCTTTCAGCAGCTGAAGGTTATGGTTGCTGAAATGCAAATAAAGAAATGGGCTGCATGCACTTAAACTTGCTTAAAAGGGTATTTTTGTATTAAACTTGCTTAAAAGGGTATTTTTGCAGTAAAAACAAAGCAAGAAAGCATTTTATAGAAGGCAGTTGGGCAGCCCTGCATCACTGCCAGTGATAAGACTGTCATTCCTTGGTGCTAACTGAAATCCCATTATAAGACTATTTTGTGAGAAGCTAAAGGACAGTCCTAGTGTTCCAGGTAGTAAAACTGACTGGTCTGTCCTGTTTGCTCCCAGACGTGTCTCGGTGGCTGTCAGTATTGGATAGCTGAACCTTTTGTATAATCTCAGACCCACGATGAAGCTTATCAAGTCTTATTTCTTTTGGGGGGTCGAAGCTGCCAGCTGAGGGCCGAGGGTGTCCCCCACATGAGCGTGTCCCTGCCTCCGCAGATCCCCTGCAGTCCCTCCCTCCTCGGTCGCCTCCGTGAGAAGGCCCGGCCCGCCGCAGCCCGTCAGTGCCAAGCCCTCGTCCCGGCGGTCCAGCAGAGCCCGGCACACAGCTGCCAAGATGAGGGATCTGTACTCTCTGCAGCGCGACAGGAAGGTGAGAAGGGCCGCAGGGCCATTTTCTGTGATTCTGCTTTCAGTTAAGCTCCAACACCCTTTTTACTTGTACAGTGGTGCATCTATAAGCAGCCCCGCTCACAGAGGGCCCTTGAGGTACCCCAAGTTGTCACACCTCACTTCATAACGGAATTCAGTCCGGATTTGACCTCCTGTGCCTTTCTGAGGTCATAACGCCCCCACTGCTGCCATGTGAGTGCAGCTCCTCCATGGAGCCTCGACAGTGGTCAGCCCCCACCTCCTGCCCGGCCCACAACACAAGGCACAGTCTTCATCACTCCAGCTTGGTCACAGCAACCTTTTTATATCTTTCCCATAGAAGGATGAGGAGGAGCGGGCTTCTCCACATGTGGCGGTCCTTGCTGAGCTCCAGGACGTCATTCCAGCGGATATCCCCGGAGACAAAGCCCGGTTCTCTGAAGAAGAGTGGGAGGAAGAGGCGGAGAGGCTCTACTCCTGGACTAAACAGCTTTCCCTTGATGATCTGGGCATGGCCTCACCTGCCTGCACACCCGAGAAGATATAAAACCCAGCCACGATGACCAGAGAACCCTCACTATTCATCTACGCACTCCAAACTATAAATTTCACACTCCATTCAAGGCCTTAGTCCTCTACACACAGAACTGTACTGTCTTTCACCAGCTATCCTGTGGCGTTTTGTTCAGAAACCCCTTGTACACAAAAAGTATACTGTCGGCAAATTCTTCCACTACCCTAAATACATTTCAGCAATGTTCCAGCCAGTTCTTCCTCCTCGTGGTGCTTTCTTATGAGCCAAGGTCTCAGTGGAGCTGGTCCGCTCCTGGTATTGGTATTGGGATGTAGTGTCAGTTTGTCCCCAACTACCTCTCAAAATTATTATTCCTCTTCGTGGGCTCAGTCACAAACAGCATCCAAGAAGAGGCTGACTGGCAACTTTTCTTTTTAACTGAGATTTCACTTGTGAGTTTTAAATATGCAGAGGTAAATAGTTTCATTACACTAGCCTGAAGCAATACTTTAAACCTGTGCAAGGCCCAGAGCTTAGGGATGGCAATGACCTTTTGACTGCAAACAGTTCTGATTCAGTTCCTTTCCCTATCTACATCTTGGTTGACATTTACTAAAAGTCTAATGCAAGATCACCAACAAACTCCACTGTCTACAGTACATTTCACGTTCTAGCTAAGGCATTTTAATATATAAAATCAGTGGAAAAAATGGCACCGGGCAGATGAACAATATGAACATTTATTCCTGGAAAGAAATTACAAAGTGTTCAAATAGCAGTGAACAATCAGCTTGTAATAAAGATAAATTCAGTTATTTAATCTTCTCAAATATCATTAAAACCTAGAGTTTTGATGATTTCTGGAACAATGACAGGATGTTAGTAATTCTAAAAATCTAATAATGACAGACTGTGCACTAGTTAAAAATATTACACTTTGAACTGCACAGAAAAAAATAAACTGTACAAAGATTGCAGTTTGGCATTTTATATACACAATATCGACACAGGTAAAAAGAAAAATGAACATGACAGAACAACAACAAAAAAAGTCAGGATTAAAAGAAGAGTCATTCAGAAACTACTAAAGAGGACTTTCCCTTTCACCGCATCGCCCAGACAGGGGGAAAAACAGAAAGTCCAAATGTTGCTGGTTATTTCTCATTGTGCCTGGGAAAAAAAGTTACTATGAAGAGTTGAGGAAAACACATGGAGTTAAAAATCCAGACTTTCTAAAACCATTTATGTCTGAAAGAAAGAACAGCCAAGTATGTGCTAACAACCCCCTTTCGATGCTGTTACAGCCCATGCATAGACAGGGAGCACTTTGTTAAAAACATACCTGGACTAGTTTAGGAAACTGCAAATGCCTTCTGACCACGTTAGCTATTCAGCATTCGTTTTGAAGAAATGAATGTTACAAAGCCTCATCTGGGTGGTCCATTTGCAGCAGCTGGGGAGGGAGTATTATTACAAGAATAGCAATTGCCCCCCAAAAAAGTGCAAAATATACTTCCGTCTTCCACTCATTTCACAGGCCTTGCGTGACCTGAAGCATCTTCCCTGGCATTTACAGTAACGAGCTGGGCTGCGATTCTTTCAGCACTGTCTGTGAGATTGAGACATGCAATCAAGACTACAAAGGAGATGGGAATGAAAGAATTAAAAGGTGAATCACTCATGAAAGAGGGTTGTGGAGGGAAAAGTGATTCAGGATTAAGGACGGGGACTGTTTGCTATTTTAACTGTTTTTACAAGCTGATCCACTTCAACAGACTGAGAGAAAACACACACATGTACCAGTGAAAGCACGAGTTCGCAGCTCAGCTGTCCTTGAGGAAATGACAAGTGGGAAACAACCGAGGAACGCGTGGTATGTGCAAAATCAAAGGGTACCCCACAATGCCTAAGAAGGTCTCAATCTTTAAAAGCCTGTGATCTTGATTTTCCTGGTGGGCATGGCGAACAAGACCAATGATACCATTGGCCCACATGGAGAATCCAGAAAGTCTTCAACCAGGGCTCGTCTCCCCTGTTGTTTTCAGCAGGCACATGAGGACCACAATTTGCAGAACTCCTGGGAACATGGGAAAGAGCAAGCCCAGCACAGGCTGAAGGGCAGCACACTGAAACGACGCCGAGAGGCAGCTACTTCAAACTCGCACCAAACACGGGGAGAAATGGCAAAGACAGCGTTTACATTCTGTTTTTGGTAGCATTCTTTGTGCCAGACAACAGCAGAGGCTTAACAAAGTTTTTCCATTCAAACAAATTGCGCAATTTCACTAAAGAAAATACTGAAGACACTCATTAAATATGTACAACACTAAACGGCATTTAATTTAATTCATGTGCCTAAAGCCCTAAAAATGAACCTTTTTTTTTTTTTGGAAAAATTGCTTTTTATGTAAAAGGCCATGATTCTGTATGGCTTAAGAGAATTCTTCCCTGCTAGGAGTCAACAGGCGTACTTGAGAACTGTAAGGTAGCTTGCATTAAAAAAGTAAAAGGAACAATTACAGCGAGAAGAATATCAAGATTGCCAAGGCTATAAATCCGGAAACAGACATGCCTAACACAGGGAACGACTATTATCGGAAACAGAAAAGAACAGCCTCTTCCCTGCCCGCAGGGGGAACGTCAGCCTGCAGACCCAAGAGAACGGAGCGCAGACACGCAGCACAGCCCGGCGCCGCGAGCAGGGTTCGGGGGCAGTGCGCTACTGGGCGCTCCCAGCGGGAGGGTTAGGGTTAGGGTTAGGGTTAGGGTTAGGGTCTCTCTAATCGTGCTTCGCTCACCCCAGACGCAAAGGGAAGAGGGCTCTTCCTGACGAGCACTCCAACTCCTAACTGTGCCAAACTAAAAAAAAAAACACCACTTTATTTGAGCAACAAAGAATGACTTTGAACTGAAATGCTTGAAGATGAACCTCTTCTGCACTGTGACCCCCTACCCCTGTGATTCAACTGCATTACTTCCTAAAAGTACCCTTTCCTTCACTACACTCAATGCAATGTGATTGTTACAAAATGACATCTCCATCTAGAACACAGGAAGTTCTTACATTCACTGGATGACTGACTGAAAACAGGAGTTCAGCTCCTCAGAATAATCCTTAAGATGGCAAAAGCCTTCAGCCCAACAAAACATCTAGCCACTTCGATACAGCTGTAACCTAATGTGATGAAAAATTAATCTGGTAGGGGAAAGCCCATGCATCATGACAGACATCTCAATTCAAACTTGGTGTGAGGTCACAAGTGGTTACAGATCTCGCCGTTTCAATGAGAATGACGTTTAACCCGTCTGCGTCAGTCCGTTTGTAATGCAGACGTACAGACTTACTGGTTTGGAATATCCTTAAGGAAAACTGACCACCAGATTTATAGAGAGGGCTCCAGAGGAATCCGAGCTACTGTCCTTTTGTCCCTCAAACAGTACGGAAAAAAGTCAAAGCTTTGCAGCTCATGTGTCATATAAATAATGTTACTTTACTTTTATACTGACAGCGTCTGAAAGTTTTAAGCAGCAAACAAAAAAGTCGTACTTTTTGTGTGAATGTACTAATAAGGTTAGATATTTCATGTAACATGAATGTCAGAAATAGAATTAAAAACAGAAATACTATAGTTGTTTCTGCAGATTTTTCAAACAGATAGTACTACATGTTATAGGGGTTAATATTTGCATGCAGGAGCCATGTTTTATTCTGTATCTGTGGCCCTGATTTTGTTAGCATAAATATCTTAACAAAATAACAGCTTACATTGAATTGTATCATCATATTCAATCAACTACAGTACTAAATTTTTAAAAAGGGAATCAACTCAGAATCACCTAGGATGTAGCTTATTAATAACATTTTATTAAAAGAAAGTGCTTCCTTTACAAAATGATAAAATCAACTATTGCAGATCTCTTAGGCTAAAGTATTTCTTTAATGTCTGGAAAACTCAGATGTAGGACTAAATCGAACAGGATTCTTTGTCACCGTTTTGTGAATGGCATAGCCCTTTTCAAAATTACGGTTACAAGTTAAAGAAAAACGAACTAGCAAAAACAAAAGCTCCCTGTGAGTAGAGAGGAAAGAGGCCAGCAGGAGACAAGGCTGCGTGCAGTCAGGGGTCACACACTGCCCGGTGTCTGGGACCTGAAGACGTGGGGCTGCTCACTCGGACAACTGCTAAAATATGAAAATAGGCAAGACCTTTTTGTACAACAAAGGACAGAATAACTTGCATATTCTGCCATCCTTCAGTTTAAATGAAGTACCTACTCACTGCTTTAAAGTCCTAGTCAAGCCACACACAACCTACCCATAATGTGTGATCTTTGAGAAGTTCATATACTGATGGCATAGGAATTAGGTTTCCCTTGACTGCATGTGATAAAGTTCTGGTAATTAAGTAAATTCTTTAGATCATACTGAATGCATACATATACCGTTTCATGGATAACTAGGTGTGTTACTTATGCATAAGCAACGTCCCTGAAGATCTAAAGAAGCCTTTATATGCCATCATTAAGACAGACGTACTGAGAGGCACAGCCATCTCTTCCTGTTGAGCAGGAAATCAGAATCAACCTAAAGTGTTTTTCAAAGTTTAAAAGCATCGATGGGGAAAAAAAAACCACGAGAAAATTTGGCCATCAGCGCCGCTCAGTGTGTTTAACTGATGTCGGGAGTGGGGAGGATGGGCACACGTGGGTGTTTACAGCAATCCGACACTACAGTGGTCCTCAGACATACCGAATGCAAAGTAGTTTCTGAGAGTTACTCTTCAAGACGAACATTTAACCTGAACGACTCACAAGCAGTCCACAGCAGGGCCTGGAACTGACAGCAGCAGGCGGCCCTGCACAGACAGCAACTTTACAGCTCCTGTAGCACTGACCCAAAGCGCTGCTGCTCACTGAGCCCCGGTGCTGAGACCTCAGGGCCCGTCTCCATCACAGCTCAATGCCACTGGGGTGGCCAGTGCAGTTTCTGACCCGCAGGCACCTGTCCAGTCAATGCTCCAGAAGACAGGATTAACAAAAAACAACATACATACAATCCTTAGCTAACCGTTTCACCCCCACTACAGACATTGCTTCCATGTGACACCAACAGCTTGTACAGACTTGCACTCTCTGAACACCAGCAGGAGACGAAGTCCCATGTGACCCAACTTGAAGGCTCTTTTTAAGGAAAGTGTGTAAAAACGCCAGAGTACATCACAGAAACGCACTCATGAGCTCAGAGCCATGTCCACTGCGAGATAATGACTGCACTGTTGGTTAGATCCTACCGTGAATTCTACACAAGATATGAACAGAACGAAAACGTTGAGGGTATGCCAAAATGACAAAGAAACTGCGGATCTCTCTCTTTATTTTTGTGGGAAAAGTATGGTATGAAAATTGAACTAGAGAAGAAATGAAAGAATTAAAAGCCTGAGACTGAATCTCAATGCATAAACTGACCCTACTCACCTTCCTCTGACCAACCCCACTCCTACCTCAGAACAATTAACAGAGAATCAGGAAAGTTAGTTTCCCTGAATATTGTAGTAAGTACTGACCTATTGTTAAAAACCTCATCAAGGATTGAGATTTTCATTTTGGGGGAGGTTGGATTTTAGTTTTCTTGGGGTGGGGGGGGGGGAATTCCAACGGCTGGGTTTTAAAATACAAGGGGGTCCCGGACACAAACAGCAGGAAGCGGACATCCGCTCCTCAGCTGCAGCGTCGCACGTGTTCCAGTACGTACTCGGGGAAGTGCAGACTGCACACCTGCAAGCCGTCCAACTTGCAAGGCATCCTGGGGTACTCGTCCTCCTTCCACTTGTTCTCCTCGGGGTCAAAGGTCAGGATGGAGTCGCTGTAGTGCCCGTTGTAGCACAGCCCCCCCAGCACCATGATCTGCTTATCCAGCACGGCCACGCCGTGCCCGCTCCTGCCGATGGGCATGGAGGCCAGGATGGTCCACTCGTCCGTCTCGGGGTCGTACACCTCCGTGGACGGGCAGCCCTGCGACTCGAAGGAGGCGCGGAGGATGACGCACACCCCGCCGAAGACGTACAGCTTCCCGTTGTAGGAGATCATCTTGTGGAAGCAGCGCGCGTAGTTCATCTTGGACTTGTTCTCCCAGCAGTTGGTGACGACCTGGGTGCGGCGCGTGCGGTGCTCTGTCAGGCCCTCCTTGCTGGGGTCGAACACGCACACCTGCTTGGAGGTGGAGGAGGACGTGATGCCGCCAGTGATATAGAGCTTGCCGTTGAGCACGGTGCCCTCGTGGCCGTACTTGTTGACGGGGTAGGGGTCCACGAACTCCCACTTGTCCTCCACGATGTCGTAGCGCTCCGTGGAGTAGAAGGTCTCGTCCCGCGTGCGGCCCGCCACGGCGTAGATGTACTTCCCGATCACGCCCACCGCGAACTCGGAGCGCGGCACCGACATGTCGGCCATGCGCAGCCAGGAGTTCTGCCGCGGGTCGTAGCGGAACACCTTGGAGGAGGCGTGGAACTCGCCGTCCGGCCCCAGCTCCTCCCCGCCCAGCAGGAACACGAAGTTGTTGACGATGGCCAGGCAGTCGGGGCGCAGCGGCACCTGGGGCCCCTCCAGCTCCCACCACACCTTGGGCTTGTGCAGCAGCAGGATCTTGCTGTTGACCATGCTGTGCCCAATCATCCCGCGGAACACCGCGGTCTGCGGCCGCACCGAGCGGATGCGGTTGGACTTCATCTCCAGCAGGGGCTGCTCGTTCACGCCGTGGAAGTAGTTGAGCGCCTGCTCCACCTCGTGCCTGAGCTGCCGGGAGTAGCGGTAAAACTCGGAGGTCTTCACCTGCGCGAGGACAGAGGACGCGTGAGTGGGGGGGGGGGGGGCCTCGCCAAGAGGTCAAAGGTCGGGACAAGGTAGCACTCACACACCAGCGATCAGTGCTTGTCCAGCAGTCACGGAGAAATATTCCCCCAGGAAACAAAATACTTTGGATTTCATCCCACGTTTTTGGTTAAAAGGAAAGGGTAATCTCAATTTAACCGCAACAGATTTTTTGTAAAAAAAACTAATCTTTCAACCATTTCCTGCAACGAAACATTCCCTATTTCATTCGGAGATGTTTTTTTTTTTTTAAAGAGATGACTATGCTGACAGCCTGTCCATCCCTTCTGCTTAAATACTGAAAAAATACTTTCCGTGCAACTTCATTCCTTAGGAAAGCGCTGTAGACACCATTAATCATAAGGTCTGCTAGAGAAGAAATAACATGAAACTGGATAGAGAAACCCACTGTGCAGCAGTTTAACCTACTCTGGGTTTCTTTTCTGAAGTCCCAGCCAATAAATAACCCAATGGACAGGTACTGGGTATTTCAAACTCAAGCAATCATACTTACATTTAAATAAAAACAGATATTGCTACCATAACATTAAGAGGTGCTGAATCTGAAACCTGTCAAGACTGAAATGCATCAAGCCCGGGGGCAGGAAAGGTAGTTTAGATTGTAGGCAACAAATGCTCACTGAGGGCCGAGATCATTTGGGACAAATGCGGCCCACAGATCTTCAACCTACAAAGGGCGCAAAGGACAAATGACGTCCAGCACTTCGGTGGACAGGACGGCAGGAAGCGAGGCTACAGTCCTCATGGGAGTTGGAGACCAATGCCTCTCGCGACAAGGGGGGGGAAGAAAAGGGAAAATGTAAATGAGTAAAAAAAAAAGCTACTGCCTGAGAATAAATAACCCTCTTGCTTCATTTATCCAGCAGAGCTGATACGGCCCGCTGGCACTGAGCTTGACAGGAGCCAGAGTCCCATGGCAGAAGGATCGCTGCTCTCTCAGTTAACCACAAGCATCGTGCTGCAGGGCTCCCAGCTACCCAAAAAAGGAAAAACAGGCTTCTTGAATCAAAGTTGACTTCATCGACAACAAATGCAAAGGCCCAGAACGCTGTAACCATCACTGATATTTTGTGCTCTGCTCTTTGGCATGACAGGGTGCTGCAGCAGATTGTATAGCCACAGCAGTGCATGATGCTTCGGGGATTTACTGTTGCGGCGCGAGATGCAGTAAAAGGCGACAAGGCGGTCCTACCTTCTCGAACACGTGGGAGGGCGTCATCAGACAGAAGCGCACGTTCTGGATGACGGAGTCGGTGTGGCGCCAGCGGCGGCGGTCGTGCCGCAGCCAGGCCTGCACCGCCTCGTAGAGCTCGATCTCGGGGAAGCGGCTCAGCCGGTCGCTGTCCAGGTACAGCGCGAGCTTCTCGAAGCTCAGGTAGGACAGGAAGTCCGGCCGGGACATGAGCGGCACGAAGTTCTCCAGCAGGAAGGCGTCCAGCTGCTCCTGCACGCCGTCGATGTTGACGCCGAAGTCGTCCAGGAGCCGCATGACCTCGGCGCAGTTGTCCAGGCAGATCTTGGCCAGCAGGAAGGAGCAGCAGAACTCCACCACCTCCGTCAGCTGCACGTACATGGCGGCCTGCAGGATCTCGTGCACGGTCAGCATGCTCAGCTCCAGCTTGCCGTAGTACATGAACTGCAGCACGTGGCTGAAGCCCGTGGCCGTCAGCCCCTTCAGGTGGATCTTGTCCTGGTCGCGCTCCCGCATGTCGGCCGTGAACATGATGCGGAAGTAGTCGCTCTGCGTGGCCAGCAGGGCCTTGTGCGCCTGGAAGTGGTGCTCCTCGATGAGCAGCGTGACGTCCAGCAGAAGCCGCTCCTCGTACAGCGCCCGGAAGCCCGACGACACGCTGCTGTCGTGGTCGCAGGAGATGAACACTTCCACGTCCGCTGCCATTAATGACCTGCGGGGCGGGCGGACAGGCAGCGACAGCAATCAGGACCGGGGGCGAGGGCAGAGACGACGCTGTCCGCGCAGCCTGGGCTTCAGGACAGCTGACCGGGCTTTACTCGGACAACATCAGAAGCAAGTTTACTACCTGGGCCATAACAGCAACAAAACGGAAAAAGAAAAAGGTCTGGATCTCTACTGTCCCTACCGGCAGTGCTGAAATAGCTGGGCAACAAGACGACTTTAATCAGCCTGTCCAATCCAGTATTAACACCGGAAGCAATGGTTAATGCATGCTGGTTAAGCTAAATCATCACTGCTGTGCGAGTAAAATGCACATTTGATTTTTTCTGGTCATTTTTACATTTTTAATCCCGGCCCAGCAGGGAGCGGAGGTGGGGGAGTCTGTTCTGATGTGGAGAGACCCGAGCACACAGCTCTGTAAGATAAGGGGGGAAAGGAAGCTTAGAGCTGAAAGTCATTAGACTGTGCGCCTTTATGTTAGTCAATTCATTAGCAATCTCTAATTACAGCTAACGGGGTGAATAAGTGTTTATTCAATTCAAATATGGTAATATTGATGAGAGCGTGTATTTCCAAAACATACACACCTTACTACAGAATAACCTTGTTTTCAAATTTCAGGTTCCGGTACTTCCTGTCAATACTCTATTGGTGACAGGGCCTGCTCCTGTTAACTCTCTCCCCAAGGATATCAGAGAATCACCTCCTCTAAACTCCTTCAAATCCAGACTCAAACCCTTCTTCTTCAGAAGGGCCTTTACTTCACTGGTTCTGTTCTTCACCCCTCTGCTCCTGCTGTATCCAGTACCCCCATCTACTGTCTCCTCTCATTGTGTATATCTTGTGGATTTTTGTATTGTTGTTGTCTTTCTGTAAAGCACTTTGAGAAGGTATATAGTACCTTTAAAGGTACTATATAAAATAGTTTATTATTATTATTATGCCTGCAGCAGCAAAATGAAATAACTCTGGTGTCCCAGGTTATGCAGCATGATACTTCATAGCTTTACGTTGTTAACCACACGCAAAAAAACACTCATTTGTAAGCTATTTGAAAATGACAGGAAAAAAATCAAGAACCGCAGCTACTTAAAGAAGATGAGAATGGGCCTTAGTTGCTACAGACTTGAATGTGTTCACAATGGCACAGGTGAGAACAGTCCAGCAGCCTCAGAGAAGGCCAGACTCTCAGCAGTAGGGAGACTGAAATACTACCTCTTCGGTACATCCAGGCCAAACGTGGGGTTTGCAGACTGTGTAATGTGGGGAAGCTCACATTTTCTCTGCTTGTGCTTTCCCTGCTCTGTGAATAAAGAGAGAGCACTTCAGTCTCCAGCGAGGGCGATAACAGCCCCTTTTCAGAGAGAAAAAAACATCACCAACATGCCACTACACTGTGACACAGAGACTGATTTGCAAAGAACATGCAACGCTACATTTAGCACGATAACACATACGCATAAGCGCAGCCTCGTTTTCACCTCGCACTTGAGAAGGCTTTTGTTTTTCTTTAAAATAGTTCAGTTTCCGATTCATGTTGCAGCAGGATGCTGGCCTTAAAGTCACACCACGTTACGATGCGCAAAGCTCGTACTTCAAACATTCACTCGGGGTGCAGTTCTGCTGTATAACATGTTGAAAAGAGGATAATTCAATCTGTTAAAAAGCCACAACATCCTCTTTCCAAGTCTTATTGTAATGGCTCCATTTTGAGCGTTTTGTTTTTTGCAACTGTCAATTCACGATCTCTTCCATTAACATCACGGGGAGGCTGGGACGATCCCATCGCGGGCTGGGAAACCTCATTGTGTAGCAAAGTTTACGTACAGAATCGCACAGCCCATGCCTGGGCGCCGGTATCGGGCTTTCCGAATTACCGACAATCGTGTCTCCTCTCGGTGTCCCATCTCAAGGTGCCGAACCCAATTCAGCAGGCCAGGTGTAAATAAGGGCACTCCCGTGTATGTGAGCTGCAGGTGGACAAGCTTCTTCTAGCACTGCCGACACGCTGGGGGAAATGCAAGACAGAATCTATCGGCTCCTACCTCGGCGATGCGACTCCACACAACCCCTCTTCGACCAGAGAGATCGGGCTCCTTCTGACATGGATTAAAGCTGTGTATCCGAAAACAAGGGACCGGGTTTTAAACACGCATGGCCAGCGACTCCTTTGTCGTTCTTCGCCTTTTTGGCAAAGCGCATTATTTTTCAGTGGATATCCCGACAGTGTTTACCTCCGTCTTTCATGGCCAACACAGACGCCATGTTCTCGACTGCACTGACGTCATTTCCTGCGGCGGGGCTGGCCAGAGTCTCGTCGCCTCAGTCGTGGGGTCTCAGGTCCCAGTGCGGCGTTCTGTGGGCGCAAAGTATATCAAAACGTATGGGTACCCTGGCTTTGCGAGATTCTACGACTTTACATTGTTGTACAGTGTAAGTATGATAAAATAAGGGTTTTTTTTAATAAAAAGCAGTTTCGTAATGAATAGTAATTTCTTACACCTCTATGGAGCTTTTCTGGACACTCCACTTGCAGTTCTTAACAGGTCATGGGGACTCACCACCACCGGTATGCAGCCCCACCTGGATAGTGTGCCGGCAGCCAGAGTTTGCCAGTCCACTCCCCACACACCAGCTCTCAGTGGGGAGAACAGAGTGATGAAGCCAGTTCAATGAAGAGGCCATGATTGTGAAAGGTTTGGCCAGGACACCAGGGTAACACCCTGGGATTTTAAGTGACCAATGAGAGTCAGCACCTCGGTTTTAGGTCTCATACAAATTACGGTGCCTTTATTTTAAGTATAGCGTCCCCAATCACTATACTGGGGCATTAGGACCCACACAGACCGCAGGGTGAGCGCCCCCTGCTGGCCCCACTAACACCTCTTCCAGCAGCAACCTTAGCTTTTCCAGGAGGTCTCCCATCCAGGTAGTGGCCAGGCAATGCCCTGGGATAAAAAGCAATTTAGCACAATACAGGACTGAGTCATAGTCACCGAGCTTTTCCTCTTTTCCCGCCCTTTGTATGTGTGTGTGTGGCAGTGTCCCGCTGTCCCTCTGCAAGCTGTATTGCCCTAGAAAAAATATGGAAGCAATTTCCAGTAACGTACTACCGAGTCCAATGATTTCAACACAACTAACAACGTGACACAACAAATGCGCGATTCGCTACATATTTAAAAGGTGGTTTTGTATATTTACGCCAGATTACTTTTTTTTTCGACTTTGTGTGCCTTGTATGGTTTCTCATTTTTTATGCACAGAACTGTTCTACTGCCATCAGTCCACAACCATACGGAGTGACGTATTCCGTGACGTACTGAGAATATTGCATCACCCCTCAACCGAAGGACCCGCGCTCCCTTTGCAATAAAACTGCTTTAATCATCATATCCTACAAACCTGAAAAAGAGCGCCGGTTGATTCGCATTTAACCTCGGAGTGAAGGAAACCCAAGACATTTTGCCTATTTTTTTTAAGTAGGGGACTTAAGGACTCCTCCATAAAAACAGGAAGTCAGGCAAACGCCTCGGACTACAACATTTCCCTTTTCGTTCAAGATGGCGGGCGACGAGTCAGGAGTAACGCTGGGGCAGCCTCATCTTTCCAGGCAAGATCTCAATACTCTGGTGAGTGCCAGCCTTTTTGTGAATGGGAGCCGGGCGCCGGCCGTCTTGACCGTCCCGGGATAGCCCCGACGAGAGCGGGGCGGGGGGAGGTTGGGTGGCCGAGGGGCTGGTGTCCGGGGCCGGAGCAGACCCGGCGTAGCGGAGCCGCACACGAGAGCGGTGCAGTCAGGACCCTACGGCAGCTCGGAGACGGCGTGGGTTGGGTGTGGGCATCAGTAAAACAGAAAAAAAAAAGATTAACGTCGTGCGGCCCGTTGTTTTGGGATTTTAAACTCCGTGTGAAAAAGCACGGATGCCACGCTCGACCGGTGTCGATCACTCCGTTGCTGTTCAGAGAACAGGGGGTAGTTTAACAATAGTGTCCTTTTCGGCGTTTGTTTTCGCAGACGTGTACGCCAGAGACCCAAATCCGTAGAGTCCTAACCGCCCGTCTTCTCATCGTCTGCGGAGCAGAAGTTATCGTTGATTTAAATAATGTGCCAACAACAAAACAGACGGGCTGATCCCCGTCTCTTTAGAAGGATAGAAAGGGGTTTGCCTGTTCACAAGCTGTGTCACCTACTGTGTTCCCCTCACTGTCTATAAAACCCAAGTCATCCGCTGTCCAGAAGCCAGCAAGTCATTTATTTTTTGTCGTTCTTTTTGAAATGACTGTCTCTGTGTTGACAGACGGTTTAATCATCTCTCCCTTTTACAGAATGTGGGTAAGCTAACTCCCCTCTCGCCAGAAATCATCAGTAGGCAAGCCACAATTAACATTGGTAAGTGACTGGATCTGTCCAGGTAGATGAAACCCTAACACGCTGTAGGTTGTAGTAATAATAAGCACCAACAGGTGCACATTACAGGCCTGCTTTCTAGTTGGCAATTAATTAATAATGTAATTATTAATTGGTCAGTGCCTTTTGTGGCTTTTGATTACTTGTAATAGGTTCTGTCATGAAAAAGGTTTCAGTTCTTTCAGTATGTCAGTATAGGAGTTTCCCTTGAGCCTCAGCAGATTCTGCTTGCTCTTTTCTGGACTGACTCCAGAGTAGCAGTATTTTCATATATCATAGCCAAATGTTTACACAGTATTCTAAATGAATCTTTTTTAGTTGTTTTAATAGAACATTCCTGGAATTAAGTTCTTCAGTTTTAACTGTATATACTTGTTTGGTATCATCTGCAAACTCTATTAGTTTATTAACTTTATAGATCATTTATATAAAGTCCAAAGAGCACTGGTCCTAGTACAGACCCTGGCGGTACCCCCAACTGATTACATCACTTCAGCTTAGACTGTTCACCTCTGTTTCATGCCCTGTGTTTCTATTTAATAACCACTTCTCAATCCAGATTCATTTCCCTGAATGTCTGCTGCCTGCATTTGAGAATTAGGTTAGGAGGAACGTTATCGGAAGCCTTCTGAAAATCTCAGGGCAGTGCCTTATTTGCCCTGTGTGTATCTATTACTTTTATTGTTTGATCACTTGTAATCTAACAAGTTGGTTGGGCAAGACCTATGATTTCTACATCACGTGGGTTATTGGGTGGCATTGATTAGGGGGGCCTGACCTGTGCTCTCCTCTTTAGGTACAATCGGCCATGTAGCCCATGGGAAGTCGACAGTTGTGAAAGCGATCTCGGGCGTTCACACTGTCAGGTTCAAGAACGAGCTGGAGAGGAATATCACCATCAAGCTTGGCTACGCAAATGCAAAGGTGAGAGCGGTGTGTGACGGCTAATTGTGATGGTGGATGGCCTAACACGGTGGTTCTGAGCCCCTGTCTCATGGTACCCCAGTATCTGCTGGCTCTTGTTCCCTCATGGCCTTGAAACACTCGCAACCTTGAGTTCAGCATTGAATGACCCTTAACACACGCGGGCTCATGCGGCTCTCTACCTGAACCCCTTTCACGCTAGTGTTAAGTAGTGCTTGCAACTGGTGTTTGTTGGTTTAGACTTTCCTGCACTTAGTCCTTGGCTTCACAAGTACTCCAGCTCATCCAAATGTCTTACCTCGTCAGCGCACAGAACTTGATGCCGTCTCTCCTTATCTCCCACAGTGTCACAGAGTCAGTATTTTGGCTTGTCTCTTTATTTTTTTTGTATTTGCTCTTGCTATTGTAGGGATTGTCATAATTGCTTTATATTTACCATTTGTGTGATGTGTCCTCTAAGTTTTATCATTTTATGTTTCCATAAAGCACTGTGACCTACATTTTAAGGTCTGGAAGGTGCTATATAGATAAAGTTATTAATGCCCAATTGGTTATATATGAGCTTACGCACCTGAATGAGGGGCTGTCCTGAAAGTCGCTAATTAGGACAAGGTTAATACCAATTCCAAGTTTCATCCAGCATTTTAAGACCTGAAAGCATATTTAAAAAAAGCTTACTGAGCTTGGGCAAAATCCGGAAGAGACAGGCATTTTTAAAATTCCGGCCTGGCTGTATAGCAAAAAGCCTGCGCAAGTAAGAAGATTGGGATTAAGTGTCCATTGGAACAAAAAGTAACAGACAGAGCGTTACTCCAGGACTGGGAGGGAGACTGGGAATCCCAGTCCTTTCCTAGTACTTTTCAAACATGCAGTTATTTTAGTCTGTTTGTTTTGTCATGTTGGGCAGCGGAAGGGGTGTTGTGATCGTCTGAATGTCTGAAAAAGACTTGACATTCTTTTTTAAAAAACGAGCTGCGATTCTTTTTTTTCCCGTTGAAATGTACGTTTTTTTTATGTTGTATTTTACCGTAATAAGCTCCTTCTCAAAGTCCTTCAAACTTTTAAAATTATAGCATGGCGTGGCACGATTATAGTCCCAGAGCAGTTCTTTACAGAGGCGTACTTCAGTGTGAAAGTGAGACATTTTCATTTCATCCTCTCAGGTTTACAAGCTAGACGACCCCAACTGCCCCAGGCCTGAGTGCTACCGGTCATGTGGCAGCAGCACTCCAGACGAGTTTCCCACAGATATCCCAGGGACGAAGGGCAACTTCAAACTGGTCAGGTCAGTGACGGGCAGGCCAGCCTGGGAGCAACACAGCTGTATTGATCTTACCGCAGAACAGTCCTCTTTGCTTTGCCTGTACAGGAGAGTACAAATCCAGGTGGTTTTCATCCACTGCTGTAACCTTGATCTCATTTGTCTCCAGCTTCCTCTCACACACTGCCGTTGCATATAGTGTTATCAGTTTACTTGGCTGGTGTGTGTTATTTTTCTGGAGACTCTTGCAGGGTTTAAGGTTATCTCCTTTTTGCACGCAGTGCAGTAGACTGCCTGGATTCAGCGTGATGAGGTTTTTTTATAGCTCTTGCTTTGTTCGTGGTGTCCCAGCATGGCTGAACTTGGTGTCCCTCCCCCCGGCAGGCATGTGTCCTTCGTGGACTGTCCCGGCCACGACATTCTCATGGCCACCATGCTGAACGGGGCTGCTGTGATGGACGCCGCTCTGCTCTTGATAGGTAACGTTTCCCTCCATCCTGTCTTCTGTACAGCTGTGGTCCTCAGTCTGGGTCCTGGAGTACCTACCCCTGCTGGGGTTTGTAACAGCTGGGCCATTAATCACCTGGGCTCACTTTTGTTTGAACCCTGTGCTGATTAGTGACTTTTGGGGCTACTCTTATTCAGGTGTGTGAGCTGAAACTACCCAGGAGAAAAGACACTGACTCAATGTGGGAGATGTCTGTTACAGGGTCTTTGTCACCTGTGTCTGTGCATCATCTCCAGTTACGAGCGGTTTAGTGAGAAATAATTAAGAAGTTGCTCCCTTAGCAAATTGAGGAGAGAGCATAAAGCTCTGTGTGTAGAAGTTGCTGGAAATAGTCTTCTGTGCTTTAAGGTATTCCATGCTTCATGATATATAAAACACTGTGCAGGAAAAAGACCGGTTTCAGGCACCCCTTAGCCCTAGTGATTAAGCGTGCAGGTGGACTGCTTGCTTCGGCGGCAGCACATATACTAAAATTGGAACAATACAGAGAAGATTAGCATGGCCCCTGCGCAAGGATGACACGCAAGTTCGTGAAGTGTTCCATATTTTTTCATGCCCCTCGGACCACACCTGTACCATCTACCTCATTATGATTTCTTATTTATTTATTGCACATCTCCAGTCTTTGTTTACACTCAAACTGTTCACTTGTTTACTTGTACATTGTCTACTGTTTGTCTATTGTCTTGATGCGCTGTCTGCACTTTGTTTTTGCGCTTGTTTTAACAATCGAGAGACTTCCTGTCAGTATGAATTCCATTGTACCGGTTACATATGGCAATAAAGCTCAAGTTCAAGTTCAGTGGACATAAGGTCCCCTTGAACCAGGACAGAGAACCACTGCTAGGCAGTATTTGGCTTTCAGGACGTTTTCCGTCTTACTGGTGACTGCATTGTTATTAAAGATATTTTGTAATGGTAAGAAGAAATGAATGTTGCTAAATCCACCATCGGGCTATTATTTTACGTCCTCCCCCCCCCCTCCTTCTCCCTCCCAGCTGGCAATGAGTCGTGCCCTCAGCCCCAGACTTCTGAGCACCTGGCTGCCATTGAGATCATGAAGCTGAAACACATCCTGATCCTGCAGAACAAGATCGACCTGGTGAAAGAGAGCCAGGCCAAGGAGCAGTATGAGCAGATCCTGGCGTTTGTGCAGGGTAAGGACTGGCCTCCGGCCCCCCGAATCGGGACACGCGTCTTATCTGTGCCTCTGCAAACTGAGTCATAGTTCTTTAGGTTGAACCTGCCGTCTTCAGATCACCCTACACAAGGCCGCTGAGTCTGGATGTATTCCTCTAATGTCCCAAGACCGTTTTCTGCATTAAGCCTTTCAGAATAAAAACAACATTTGGTGATAATTTAGAGACAGATTGATTCACATGCTAGTGAGCTGAACTGATCTGCTGGACTGATTGATTAACTCCCTGTCAGTTTGTTTTGTCCAGGGGTTGTCTAAACGTGAGTTTTAGTAGCCCGCGCAGTCACACGGGGACAGCCGCTTCGCGCGCGGCGTCGATTCTCGCTCGCAGCCAGCTTGGTTTCCTTCGCGTTGACCGCCCTGACTGGACGTGCCGTTTCCTTTCCCAGGCACGGTTGCGGAAGGAGCCCCCATCATCCCCATCTCCGCCCAGCTGAAGTACAACATCGAGGTGGTGTGCGAATACATCGTGAAGAAGATCCCCGTGCCCATCCGCGACTTCATTTCGGAGCCCCGGCTCATCGGTAGAGACGCCCCCGCCGCCGCCGCCACCCTCTGGGAGAGCCTTTTGTTCCATCTGAGCTCCGTTATAAAGCCGGTCTAATGATTCAGCTAACAGCATAGTTGTCAATACTTCAGCATGGCTCTGAAGGAGTTCTGAAGTGCAGTTAGGTAACGGTGCTTCTGCAAATGTGCATTTTTCCCCAGTCATCAGCTAGAAGAGACCTTCAGATAAATCCTCTTTGTTTCCATTTTAAGAACATTAACTTAATTGTTTAAATGAGTGCTGAGGTTCCAGCAAAAAAAAACAACGGAGCACGCCAGGCCCTCCAGGAACTGAGTTTGACTCCTGATCTAGAGATATTAGGAGCAACTCACTGCAGAGATGTCTGAATTCAGACTCCAATATACTGATTTTTCCCTTAATGCAAATCGTTATTGAATATTTCGCTCCGTCTTCCTCTATCTTATCTTTGATCTTAACTGGGCAGATTTCGGGGGTAGGTTTGGGCTGGAGATGGAAGCTGTCGGGCATTCTCAAACCTTAGCCTTTTGAGATGGTTTTTTTTCCCCTTTCCGATACCAGTGCTAGGGGGTTCACCTTGCTCTAAGCTGTGCTCTGTGTTCTTTGCCAGTCATCCGGTCGTTCGATGTGAACAAGCCGGGCTGTGAGGTGGACGACCTCAAGGGTGGTGTTGCCGGAGGGAGTATATTGAAAGGAGTCCTGAAGGTGAGACTCTAATTTTAACGTTGGTGCGTTTATATAACCCTGTGACTGGACGGAAAAGCAAATTCTCTCATGTTGCAGTTGCATCTCTTTATGCGCCCTTATTCATTTGTGAGTTTTTCTTTTTTCCTTGTTTCCTTTAAAGTCACACTTAATGCTCAGTATCACCCTTCAACTATGGTGTTTGTGATCTAGATTCCTTGCAGTATTGTTTCTCGTCTCGCCAGGCTACAGAGCTTTAATTGTTTTTTCTTGATTGTTCAAGAGAAAGAGTGTTGTGGAGCTGTGATCTTTTTTTCCTTTTTTATGTAGGAATAACGCATTTTCTACCCTGCTGAGGATAGCAGCAGCAGCAGCAGTATTTAAAAAGTTAGCTTCCAGGCCTAGAAAGCCAATGCGTTATGGGGTAAATGTTTTGGTGGCCTGGAGTGCCTTAACTACATAATCAATCTGTTTGTTGGCTTAATGTGATCAGTTTAGTTCTTTGTCACGTTGTGTTAGATGAAGCTGGCTACAGGGCCATCAACAAGGTCTGGAAAAGACCCTTGAGTGGTTGTGCGCCCCCTTGATCACGGTCTTGATCTTCTCTTCCCAGGTGGGTCAGGAGATAGAGGTCAGGCCGGGCATCGTGTCAAAGGACCACGAGGGAAAGCTCATGTGCAAACCCATCTTTTCCAAGATCGTCTCGCTGTTCGCGGAGCACAACGACCTGCAGTATGCTGCCCCTGGGGGCCTGATCGGTGCGGATACTTCTTTTTAATTCCTGCCTGTTTGAAGCTCTGGGTGCGAGAGGCGGGGCTGGGAGAAGCGGGACGATTTGACCATGTGCTTCACTGTGTCGCAGGTGTGGGCACAAAGATCGACCCGACGCTGTGCCGAGCGGATCGCATGGTGGGCCAGGTCCTGGGCGCTGTGGGGGCGCTGCCCGAGATCTTCACCGAGCTGGAGATCTCCTTCTTCCTGCTGCGCAGACTGCTGGGCGTGCGCACTGAGGGGGACAAAAAGGCGGCCAAGGTGTGTGAAGCTGTGTGAGGCTCCTGTAGTGAAACACGTTGAACAAAGAGGCACACAGCAGGCCTAGACAGAAGATCAAACAGACGTATCTCCGGCTCTGAACTGCTGTGAGCTGAGGGGGAGCCCTCCGGGGAAAAAAGATTTTCCAGATAAATTATATTTAAGAAACTCAATCGCGTTACCACTGTCTAACACTTTATTACAACTCGCCAAAACAAGGCTGACCCAAAAAGGACTGCTTCTTTCTGCCTTGCTTAACTCTTTCCACATGCAATATCAGGTTGATTTAGCAGTTCGTTATTTTAACCATCGTAAGTCGTGGAAGCATTCGGCGAGATTAAGGATTAAAATCATGACTTGGAAAAAGTTCAGCGTATACCAAAGGTTTTTAGTCTGGATCAAGAATTCTCCCTGAAGGGTCAGCTGCACTGTTTTCAGTTCTGGTTAGACTCTCATCTTGTAGTGGCAAAGACTGACAGGTTATCTTTGTATATCCCATGTGTGGAAACTGATTATAGCACTACGAGTTGAAAGCAGCCTTTTGTTTGTGCTAGTAGTGGTCTGTGAAACCTTTAGTGTTTTTGTAACAAACTCCTTTAGGTTTAGTGTCCCAAGTATTTAAATTTTGCAGCCTCTCATACACAGCCTAGCAGTGCTTTGGAGATATTTTGGTCATCCTTGCTGTGGTGTGAAATGTGTTGAGATGCACACACAGCGAGCAGCAGTGTGCTGCCCTCGTCTCGAACGCGCAGTTAAACTGCGGAGAAGCCGCCCCCCCCTCAGAATCTAGTATTTGTTCATTATTGTGTTCTTATGATTGAAAATCAAATCTCTCCCCCCCCGGCCTCAGGTACAAAAGCTGTCCAAGAACGAGGTGCTGATGGTGAACATCGGCTCGCTGTCGACTGGGGGCAGAGTCAGCGCAGTGAAGGCCGATCTGGCCAAGATCGTGCTGACGAATCCCGTCTGCACCGAGGCGGGGGAGAAGATCGCCCTCAGCCGGAGAGTGGAGAAGCACTGGCGGTGAGTTTTCTTTACCTCCTGCCTCTTTTTAACCTCTTTTGTTTTTCCGGACTGTACCAAACCTTCCGTAAGATCCCCTGAAAGAAAACGTTCCTCAGATCTGCGAGAGGGGGCTCTTCACCTGTTAGCTGCGGGAGTGCCCTGCAGCCTTGATAAAAGATGTTGCAAATAGTTTCATAGTTTTATGAGAAGTATTTTGTAAGGACATAACCATACCAGCAAGTACGCTATTGTTACTAGCCATATAGTAGTTAACATGCTTTTGACATAACTGCATGCTCCGAATGCGAGTCCTCTAATATCTCTCTTCGGCTGTTTGCTTTTTTTTGTTACCAGTTTGATCGGCTGGGGCCAGATAAGGAGAGGCGTGACGATCAAGCCCACGGTGGACGACGACTGATGCGAGGCCTTAACCGGCTGAATATATATATACGTACACACCACCCAAGTCATCTGTTCAGAACCACGGAGCTCTCCGCAGAATGCAAGCTGACTGTCTGGACTGGAATCATAGGGTTCTGCTTTTTAAATGGAATTGTTTAACTCCCATAACAGATTTGCATAATTTATACATACAACAGAGGTTAGTTTTGGGATCACAGAGGTTTGATAGTATGTCAACACCTATCAACGAAATCCATTAAAAAAATCTTTTGAACAAATGTTTGGTGCCTTGGTCTTCTGTTATAATAAACACGTGGATGGTGTTTTTTGGTAATAATGGATGTTAATATCAAATTTTATAAAACTCTTTAACTTGGAAACCACAGGTCTGCTCTTTTCCAATGTTTTTTTTTTCTTCACACAAAATACTGTAATAGGGCAACTGCCTTTAGTTTAAGTAACATTTGATGCCTTCTCAGGAGGTGTTGGTGGACTTCTGCAAATCCTGTTGATTAATAAGCCGTTTTCTGTATTAATTCTAAAATGAAAGTTACCTGGAATCGGCTAATTTAGACCTGGTGAGAGAGAGGCGTGTTTAGTCAAGTAGGTTGGGGTGTTGACAGAGCTCTTTTCTGAAATGCGATGTTTATCTTAATGCATTGGAGCCGTCATCTTATTTATTTTCTTAAAAGGCGGAGAACGTTTTAACGTTTTAAACTGCCAAGGGTCTTGTTTAAGAAGAGCGTTCGCCATCTTAAAACAGGATTTGTCTGGTAATACGGTATTTAGGTGTGTTGCAAAAGCAAACGATCTTGCACACGACAGAAATCTGTGTAAGCAGCACTTGCTGGTGAGGGCGGATTCTTAAACGCACTCAACTGGGCTGCAGAGCTGAATGATAACTCGGTGTGTTCATAACTCGCCTCTTATTTCATTCCGCACCTGGGTCATTCCAGAATCATGAGCCGCAAAAATCTGAAGAGCTTATATCAGTCTCACAAATATTTATATTTAAGGCATGATCTTGAGTTATGTAAAGTGGCTGGATAACTTCCTGAGATCGGAATGAACTTAATGGGCCGAAAGGAGTCCCCTTGTTTAAAAAAAAAAAGTGCAATCAGTCTCCTAAATTAGTCTGAGGCTGACAGGGTGATGTTGCAGGGAAGACGAGGACAAAGCACGAAAAATTAATGCAAATGATGGCGTGAATACGGCGGAACCATAGTGATGGGATTTCGTCCTGGCTGAGAAACCGTTTAAGCATCAGCAAGCTGGTCACTTTACATATGCTATATATTCATTTTAAAAAAAGTTTTGAAAAGAGACAACATTAAACCCCAAGAAACCTCTTGATATGCGATTCAATTACATCACCTCGGTGGATTTCTCCAAGACTACTGCAAACACTGACACTTTATTTAAAAGTTGATCAAAAGACGCAATGCAATGGATATGATTACTATAGTTGGGGAATTAAGAGTACTTTCAAAATAAAAGAATGGGTTTAAAAAGAATACGGATAAAAAAAGAACATCTGCGTAGTTTATTTACTACACGACCATTTATATTAAACAGTTCATTACACGTCTATGCACTTAATCCTAAATTTTTTAAATCCTAAATTCGTGACACGTTAGTGTTAGTATAATTTAAATGCACGGAAAACTGGAACCATGTAAAACGTTTTAGACCCATAAATATACGATTGTATTACTATTTTAACATTAAATAGTTTTATTATCCATTACTTAAACGCGTCCTTTAAATAATAATATATTCTTTTGCTTTTTAAAAATGTTTTACCAACATCTACGGATAATTCCACGTTAATAGCGTGGCCTTCCCACCGGTTTATTAAAACAAAATCACCGCATGAACACTTTGTCACAGGGAATACATTAAAACAAGAAAATTGTTCCGAGGCCTTGAAAAGCCGCAATACGGATCTGTAAAAATAAAATCAGTCTCGCTGGTTCCTTTTTTTTTTTTCGGGAATAATGCAGAGCAGCCCTCCGGCCTTGGCCTGCCCGGAGTGACGGCGCCGAGCAGCTTTCTCAATCCCCTTCCGCATTTTCCTACGGCTCTAAGGCAGTGACGTGGTGCTGACGGCGGGGCTGGCGGAGCTGGGGGCCGCTGCTCGGAGAGACTCGGCCCCTCCCTCCCTGCGCCTCAGCGGCCCGCCCCGCCGACACCAGCTCCCGATAGAGCCCAGCCCGAGTCTGGGGGAGCCGCGACGGCCTCGGGAAAGCCAGAGGACCAGGGGACGCCACCCCGCCACGATCGCCGCACTGCTGGTATGTTTCGCACCGCGCCGATGTGCTTTGCGCTACGACCCCCTCCCTCTTAGGTGTGAAATGCGAGTTTTTGGCCCTTTCTGTATTTTGTGTTTCTTTCCAAAAGCACGACGCGGGCTTTCCGGGCCTGGCCTTGGCTTAGCGTAGAGGCCCAGGCCGCAAGGAGGCCGCAGGTAGGCCTCTTCCGAGGAAAGGAGGGGGCGGGAGTGTTTCATCTTAGTCTGTTTTGGCGGGGACCGCTTTTAATTGCTGGATGTTTTTTTATGGGAGGGGGGCAGTAGACGTGTTGAGTGTTATTCAAGGTGGGGGGTTTATTTTTTGTTTGGCCAAAAATAAAAAAACAAGTCGGTTGGTTGAGTTGAACGGAGAGAGCGGAGGCCCCGGCCGAGAAACCAAGATGGCGATCGTGTTCGGGTTTTGTTGTTGTTATTTTTTTTTTTTACGGAAGTGTGATAGGAGGAGCAGATTAGGCGCCATTTTACTAGCTCCGTGTTTTACAGCCTATGCAAGGAATATACAGAAGGGGGCCCGGAGCATCTGCTAACGTAGCCGTTTGGACAGGCGGTGTGGGCGGGGGCAGACATGATCTGAGCGCCAGCTGTCACCAGCGACTTCATCTACACTTGTTATTAATAAGGAGGTCTCCTCCACCGTCAGTGAACGTATACCTCTAACACCCTGTTTACTAACAACATTGCTGCAGTGGATAGAATAAAGCTGCAGTTTCAGTTTAATTGCTACAATATGGACAGGTGACATTACCTGTCATTTGTGTGCACCTGGGCATTCTGTCATATATGTGGACTCGTAACGTTGTTTTTTTTAATATATGAGATCTTATTTCATAATATATTGTTCAGTTATAGTTCGATTTTACAAATGTTTGCCAGGTTAACAGCACAGTGACAGTTCTCAGTAATGGGTTCATGAATCCAATATTAGTTTCAACAGCCAGGCACACATTCCCTATATGAATATTTTTAACAATTCAATTGGTTCGATCCAATGATTTCGTGCATGCCACTAACACAGGGACAGTGTTAATTCCCCATTCACATATGCATATTAGGTTCGGACTTAGTTAATGTGTTCTACAAAAGAACTCCCTCTAGTGATAAAAGACAGATAAGACTTTGATAGATGCTTTATTGTCCACTACTGTGGACATTTGTCTTTGGCTTCTCCCACAGAAGTACATAAGTCACATAAAATCACATGAAATCACAATAATAATATGTGATACATAAATATGTGGATAAATAAATAAGTAGAGGGGAAGAAAACATTTACATACCTTAATTTAGTACTTTTATTGCAGTGATACTCAAGTTCAGTGGTACTTCAAGTTCAGGTTCCTCTGAAACTTTGGAGTTGTTTCTATAACTCTAGTTCTTTTAACTAATGCTTATTTACTAATGTTTAAAAAACCCCACTATGGTACATTTTTCCCTTTGCTGCCCCAGTGTTAATTATCCCAAAATGGACATAATAGGCCTATTGCAAAGTTAAAGCAATTTTCTCTTTGTGGTGTTGAAACACCTTCTCCACTAGTGTGTATCAGATTGTTCTGTACTGTCTTCTAATTCAACTTTTTAAAAGGGACAGTTGCCTCATTTGGATCTATCCCTAGAGCTTCTAGGGTTCACCTGTTATTAAGAATTTGTAGCTTTTCAAGTGAATATATGATTGAAACTGCAGGACAGAATTCATATACATTCCAGTTCCAAGAGTTTGTGACCAGTTTGTAAATAACAGATGTGCCGTGCCATTCATTTGCCTCTTAATGTCATAGAAAAACATGCTAATTTTATAGTAATGTAGTTTTTTAGTCACTAGTGTTGATTTTGCATATAGTTTAGTGTTTCTGTACTATGTAGAAAAATACCGCAGTGCTGTTTGCAGAAATAGCTTTCTTTTTACGGTATTTGAGCTAGGCTTTAATTCATTTTAAATCATGCTGCAATGTATTGTTAGGATCCCACTGACAAATGAAGTGTCAAGACAATGGATGAAGATGTGACTGGGCTGGCACTGCATCCACAAGAGCCAAAGATCTTTTTCGATGGGTCAGGTAATTCTTCATATTTATGGTTTTTTCTTATAGCTGACAGATGTCCTGCTCTTGTGACTTTGATCCACGTTTTAACGAACCTTTCAATTTCCTTTAAATATTATGATAATAATCTTTATTTTGTATAGGACCTTTAAAAGTAACTTTTCAGAGTGCCTTAGAGTAAGATAATTAACAAGGAGAATAGGTTACAAAATGAGCACAATTAAAAACAAGGGTTTAGAACGCAGACGTAATGCAGGAAGGGGAAGACAAAGAACTGATGAAATAAAAGCCCTTCTGAAGAAGAAGGTTTTGAATCTGGGTTTGAAAGAGTTTAGGGAGGGTGACTCTCTGATATCCTCGGGGATAGAATAAGAGTTTTGGTTGCAGCAGGAGAAGGACCTCTCACCCATAGAGTGTAAGTGGGCTTGGGGGACAGACAGGAGACCAGAACACCAGAATCAGACTAACACAGTTTGCAAAGTGGGGAGCAGGAAGACAGTCATTCAGGTACTGAGGTGCCAACCCATGAAGCCTTATAGGTGAGCTTGAGGGGTTTGAAAACACAAAACCTGACTGGAAGCCAGTGCAAGGACTCCAGGGCAGGGGTGACATGATCGCTTGCACGTGACGGCTGCTGGATTCTGGACACACTGGAGTTTGTCCAGAGTGGATTTAGAAACCTCAGAGACTAGGGCTTAGACGTAGAAGATGTGGGGGCGACAAGCTTTACCAGCTGTACACAGAAAGCCTTCTAGGCCCTCACCCACCTGATGAGCTGTCCTGCTGCGTGTGAGCCTCCCAGGCCTGTTAGAGGTTGTGAAGCCTGCGGAGCACCGTGGTGGGGGGCCGTGCCGTCCCCGTGACACCGCCGATCTGGTTCTCGCCAGCAGAGATGCAGGCGGCCGCCCACGCGGACGAGGGCGAGATCGTCGTGGAGGTGCAGGAGACCGTCTTCGTGTCGGAGGCGGGCGGCGCGGGCGTGGCCGTGCACGGCTTCAGCCCCGAGGAGCTGGACCCGGTGGTCATCCAGGACGCCATCGAGAACGTCGTGGCCGAGTACGTGCAGTGCTCCGAGGCCGAGGGGCCGGGGGACGTGCTCATCCCGGACGAGATGCTGGGAAGCGACGCTCCGGCGGGGGTATCCGCGGAGGCCTGCGTGATTCCCGCCGGAGGCCTGTCGGAGGCGGGGGGCGTGGTGCTCCACGCCGGCACCGCTCTGGCCGACATCCCGGTGGAGGCTCTGCAGGTGGACGTTGTTCCTGAAGAGGTCCTGGTGTCGGAATGCGACCCTGCGGGGGCCATCGACGCCGAGCAGGACCGGACCACCTGCGGGGACTACCTCATGATATCCCGTGAGTTCCCGGAGGAAGGCAGCTGGGAGAAGGAGTCCGAGGAAACGGGGGTTTGGGAAGCAGTCGAGCCGTACCTCAGCTCCATTTCAGAGCCTTACCCTCTTCTGTGCACTAGATGTCAGTAAAAGCAGAGAAACTATTCGTTTTATCTTAGTAATGGGGACAGGTGCCTTGTAAATAGAGTTGAAGAGTTTTGCATTGTATCAGCAAGCACAAGCCCTTATGTCTACAGTTTTATGCGTGCAGACCGTTGTGTGAAGAAATAATATCCTGCTGTGTCTCCCATTGGCTTCCAGTGGACGAGGCCGATAAAATTGTGCAGCACGGCAGCGGAGAGATCGCCGTGGACGCAGGGGCGGAGGAGCAGACGCCCTCCCCCAAGGAGGACGGGGGGGAGGTTATAAAGGTGTACATCTTTAAGGCCGAGTCGGGGGAGGAAGACCTGGGTAAGGGACTCCAGGATTACTACCTGCCCAAGAGAAATTGGCTGGGGGCGGGTGTGGACGTTCAATAAAAGCTAGGGGTGCTGATGTTGATCATTATTAACTGCTTACACTTATATAGAGCTTTTCTGGACACTCCACTCAAAAGTGCTTTACGGGTAATGGGGATCCCTTCCACCACCACCAGTGTGTAGCCCCCACTTGGATGATGCAAAATAGCTGCCATTGTGCAGCAGTCCTCTCCCCACACACCAGCTCTCAGTGGGGAGGAGAGCAGAGTGATGAAACCAGTTCAGTGACGGGGATTATTAGGAGGCCATGATTGGTAGAGGCCGGGGGGAAATCTGGCCAGGGCACCCCTGCTCTTTTCGAAAACTGCCCCTGGTGTGACATTTCCACCCGAGTGGCAGGTAACCACACCTCACAGACGAGCCCCCTTTATCTTTTCAACAGAGAGTGAGGTCTGGGCTCATGTGGGCAGAGCAGTGGACAGCCAGTTGGCTCGAGTGTCTTTGCACACGGAGTTGTACTGTGGGTTTTCCAGGTGGCACGGTGGACATCGAGGAGAGCGATGCGGAGCACGAGCACGGCGTTGGGCTGCTGGAGCCGTCGGGACACGGGCCGAGAGAGAAGATGCTGTACGTGACTGTGGGGGGCTCCCAGCCCGATGAAGAAGACCTCAGTGAGTGCCTGAGTGTTTCAGTGAGGGCGGTCTAGGGCAAGAGCACACGAATCCAGTCCTGGAGTCTAGTCCAACTGAGCCTTTAATTGCCTAATTGAGCTCGTTTGCTTTATTGAAGTGTTTCTTTGTTCTTCTTATGCTGGCGATTTAGACAGACCTATAAATCCTGCTGGAAAGTGCTATTGCAGAGCAAGAATTGGGTACCCTGGTTTATAGTCGGCTGCTATCATCAGGGCCAGGCAAGGTACTGGTTACTAACAACTAAACAAGCAATTTGACTGTTTCTCATTTACACCCTGTCGTGTGGTGTTCTTACACAAGACAAAGCACATACTGTTGATTGTCGTCCTTACTGTGAAAATAGTTATTTTAAAACAAAGGAGAGGAAAAAAATAAAAATCCCACCCCGATTTAATTGTAACCTAGAGCATGGCTGCCTGATTCTTCCAGAAGGTGTGTTCTTCCAGACGTTTGCTTATTGTACATCCACTCTGTTTGGAATCGCCAGCTGTTGTTAAAATTCAGCTCTTCTGGCATCGACTGCCGGACTCGCCTGGGTGAGAGCAAGGTGCTCACTTGCACAGTCCATTTGTCACCCGCCCTGCCGCGCAGCTCCTGCACCAGCGCTGGTGGTGGTTGGCGGAGCTGGAGTGCCCAGAGTACCCTAGCGGACTCATCCTGGGGGCACTTCACCAGGGACCTGAGCTGAGTCGCTGCCGCGTGTGGTGCCACAAGCCAGACTCGAACCCCTGACACCTGACCCACGCTTGATCGCATTTACTGCCCCTGGAGCACGGCCCCTTTAATTCCAAGCATGCAAATAATGTTTCCCCCCCCGTCTCTCTTACCCAGATGCGGCTGAGGTGGGGGGCGAGGTGTACATGGAGGTGGTCGTTGGTGGAGAGGAGGCGATGGCGCACGAGCAGCAGTACGACAACACGGTCCTGAGCAAAGACTTCATGCCCGTGGCCTGGGCCGCGGCTTACGGTCAGTGTGCGCGCGCGTCTTTTCCCGTCCCGCAAGAGTCTGTTGCGGGAATGGCGCCGGTCCAGGTGTTTCCGTGATGGTTATTAAATCCGGACCCGTCCGCGCCGGCTCGCTGCCTGGTGTCACCCCTGGGTCCCGTTGACAGGTAACGACGAGAGCGAGGCCTGTGAGAACAGGAACGGGGCCGCCAGCGCCCTGCTGCACATCGACGAGTCCGCCAGCGCTGGGAAGGGGGCGAAGCAGAAGACCAAACGCCGGAAGAAGATTGATGCCAGGCAGTTCCAGACAGGTATTATCAAGCAGCAGGGTTTCCATTGGCACTTTCACGCATTTTGACAATTTTGACCAGTTACTGCCCTCTCCGTTCTTCGATTGTGAGATTTTTGCACTGCTCATTGCTGTCTTGTCTGGTGTGCGTTGGGGTGGTTTGCGTAGATGTGTTGGAGGGAAGCTGTTTGTTATCGTCTTGCCAAACCTGATTCCATGCAGCTGGTTGCTGTGGCGATAAATTCTTGAATGAATGAGTCCAGTGGTTGTCGTAGGGCAGTTTATAAAAATATTTCCATTCCATTGATTTCCTCTTCCCTCTCCCCGCCTCTAGCCATTATAATCGGGCCTTACGGGCAGCCCCTGACCGTGTATCCCTGCGTCCTGTGTGGGAAGAAGTTCAAGTCCCGGGGGTTTCTCAGGAGGCACATGAGGAACCACCACGAGGTGCTGAACAAGAAGAAGTACCAGTGCACGGACTGCGACTTCACCACCAACAAGAAGGCCAGCCTGCACAACCACATGGAGGTGCACAAGCTGACCGGCAAAGCCGAGAAGGCCGTCGAGTGCGAGGACTGCGGCAAGGAGTTCTCCCACGCCGGCGCGCTCTACACCCACAAGATGGTGCACAGGGACAAGGGCGCCACCAAGATGCACAGGTGCAAGTTCTGCGACTACGAGACGGCGGAGCAGGGCCTGCTGAACCGCCACCTGCTGGCCGTGCACAGCAAGAACTTCCCCCACATCTGCGTGGAGTGCGGGAAGGGCTTCCGGCACCCCTCGGAGCTGAAGAAGCACATGAGGACCCACACGGGCGAGAAGCCCTACCAGTGCCTGTACTGCGAGTACAAGTCGGCCGACTCCTCCAACCTCAAGACGCACGTCAAGACTAAGCACAGCAAGGAGATGCCCTACAAGTGCGAGCGCTGCTTCCAGACCTTCCCGGAGGCCGAGGAGCTGCTGCACCACGCCCTCAGCCACGAGGAGGCCAAGACGCACCAGTGCGCCCACTGCGACCACAAGAGCTCCAACTCCAGCGACCTGAAGCGGCACGTCATCTCCGTGCACACCAAGGACTACCCGCACAAGTGCGACGTCTGCGGCAAGGGCTTCCACCGGCCCTCCGAGCTCAAGAAGCACATGGCGGCGCACCGCAGCAAGAAGGTCCACCAGTGCCGGCACTGCAGCTTCAAGATCTCCGACCCCTTCGTCCTCAGCCGGCACATCCTCTCGGTCCACACCAAGGACCAGGCCTACCCCGGCAGGCGCCGCAGGAAGCCCTTCGGGCCGCGGGGGGAGCTGAAGAAGGCCGGCGGCAAGGCGCACCGGGAGCGCCGCGTCTATCAGTGCCAGTACTGCGACTACAGCACCGGCGACGCCTCGGGCTTCAAGCGCCACGTCATCTCCATCCACACCAAGGACTACCCACACCGCTGCGAGTACTGCACCAAGGGCTTCCGACGGCCCTCCGAGAAGAACCAGCACATCATGAGGCACCACAAGGACATGGTGCCCACGGACTGAGGGGGCCGGCCCGGCTCTCGTGCTCCTGTTGGGAACGGGGCGGCCCGGCCCGGCCCCGTGCCGACTCGCGCGCGGCGCCGAGGGCCCTGCCCCATGAGCTGCCCGCTGACAGGGCCTCAAGCATTACACAGGGTCGATCCGAGATCGCAGAGAGAGCACTTAGCTGGCTTCAAGTGTTTTGCACCTTAAAAGATCCCCGTTTTTTTTGTTCTCCCCCAGGGTTGTTGACTCGAATTGAAATGAATTACCTCTCGGTGCGGGTATATCTCACTGAAACCCTCCGTGACTTTCTTTGCTCCGTTGTTTCCCATGCTTCTTAGTTCTTTCTTCTTCTCCCTTATGCCCACCGCTGTTGTTGATATGTTAACGTGTTAAGTATGAACATATGTGTCTTTGTGTAGATTATATATATAGTGCTCACAGAAGTAGAGGATGTTGACAGATTCTTTTTAGTTGTGATGTCAGTTTTGCTCTCCCCGTGGTGGGGAAGTAGTGGGTTCCCCGGTGGTCCCACTTCACGTGGGTCGTTCGTCTTGTATACAGCGGGCCGACCACAGATGCGTTGGGGGCTTATTTTCCCACCCAGGTGTGCGCTGAGGGAAGTGCGCGTGGAGACGGCCCACAGAGAGGGTTTGTGCGGTGGGTTTGCAGCAGCCTGCACTTTCCAGAAGTGGAAAGGCGAAAGGCAGCTGGCACGTTGTGCCACAGTCTGTCGTTGTCCGGCTGTAGAGTCAGCAGGAACAAACTGGCGCTGTGACTGATCTGCTGAGCGGGGCTCCTTGAATCCAGGATCCACGAGCGCTCAGCGGAGTTCTGAGGGACAGGTTCTGTTGCCTGTGGTCCGCTGATATAGCCGCACGTGCACAGGCTGATGCAGGCTGTAGCGATGCTGAGCATTGCAACGGCGGTCACGCCTGTGCTCTCTGGCGCGTCTCACTTCACAGCGCGCTGGCCATCTCGTACGACTGGACAGACCCCCGCCAGACCCCAGCACTGAATCCACATGACCGGTGATCCCGTGACCAACAGAGCTGACTCTCACGTCTGTGAGGGCAACTTTGCAGATGTCCGCAGTCAGGACACTGGAAGCTTTTGAGTGTTCCTCTGTCCTCTCTTCGTTCTCCGAATCGAACAGTGCTCTGGCCTGCTTCCAGACATCCGACTTGCACCCAGACCCTGACGTGACCAGTGACGCCTCCTGACCTCCCCTGTTGAACATCTCTGAGAACCGTGGCGGATGGGTTCAAGTTCAAGCACCTCCCATGCGGGACCTCCAGAAACGGGGGTCTGCCTGCCAGAGGGGTGCAGCTGGAGCTCATCAGGAGCACGAGGTGTGGCTGCTTCAGTTGCGCTCTCTCGAAGTTGTAGGATTTCGTGGGAAAGTTGGCCTAAAACCAGCTGGTCATGTGGCTTCCAGTTTGATTTGATTGCTTTAGTGGAGCGATCACTTTAGTAGCTGGAGTGGGATGTTTCGGTTCTTTCATCTGTGCTGTGCTGTGCTTGTGATTGGCTATTGCATTATTTTGCAAGGACTAGAAGAGAGAATGTCATTGAGGCGGTCTTCTCCAGTAGGTCTTTGAAATTTGTTTGCCTTTTGTTTCGGATGAAGTGGGTTGTTTTTAAAAGCAAAATGAGAAGCTGTCTACTCTGCATTTCCCAGGATTCCCTTGTGTAGTGAACAGCATGTCACAAATTCTGTTTCATGCTTAAAGGGGAACTTGAGGTCTTGAAATAGAGCAGTTATTTTAAATTTGGTGGGTGGGCATTGACTCTTGTTTTGAGCTGTAGAAGTAAATGGGGGTCTTGCACTCCTGTGTTTTATGCCTCTCTTCCAATATATTTCAGTCTACGTTTTGAGCACATCTTACTTTGCCAACACATTCACATAGCTCTGTGTTTCCTGGACATCCAAACACTGAGATTTGGCTTTGTGAATGAAGAACCCCTTCATGTCTGATTAAAATTAGATTTGAAATAGTTTTAGTTTGCATCCCCTTAGGTTGTTCTGACATGTTTGCAGTAAAGTTTTTCTTCCTCGAGAGCCGACGCCCTCACTGGATGACCTCGGGGACTCTCTACAATGTGAATAACTCCACGGTGGTGTGCTGTCTGCAGCAGCGAAAACAAAACGCTGTTGTGTGTGATTGTTTAGTTGCAGTGTTGGACCCAGTGTTCCCTAGTTTCATATTTTCATAATGTGTATATACATGCTGGCTTTTGGTGTGGGAATGTTTTGGATTGTATTGGGGGGGAGTAAGAATAAGAAATTTTACTTGATATATATTTTAAGAAATGTTAATTGTTGACATTAAATCTGTTTATAAAGGCAGTTCTGTTAAAGTTCTCTGAGTGATCTGGTGGGTGAATGAATGTGTGTGGCTTGAAATTCACTGGGACACGTTCTTGTAAAGCTCACTCTGCCTTCCATACTGCCATGACATTACACGAACTGTATTAATGCTGAGCAGGCACTTACTTTTTTTTTGCAAGCTGCACAACCGATGAATTCCTGATTTCAGCTGGCAGCTAGAATGTGTGCTTCAGTAATATACAAAAAAAACATCTTTGTATGAAGTGGCTGGAGGGCTTCCTGACCCCAGACAGCTGCTTGGAGAGGCAGAGCTCTGCTCAGGAGGGGGCTGCAGGTTTGAGTGCTCTGAACAAAGCAAGAAGATAAAAATGGCAGATGATGATCCCCAAGGCTGCAGAGGCCTTGGGTGTGTAGGAAGTGTGTGTGTAGGAAGCAGTAGGTGCCTGTCAGCTCTGCACCCTCACATTTCCTGCTTCCAATTCCCGGTTGGGAAGGCCGTCTGTGTGGAGTCTGCGTGTTCTCCCCTGTGTCCATGTGTGTTTTACCCAGGTGCTCTACGTTTCTGCCTGCCTGCCTCCCAGAGACATGCTGGGCTAGTGTAACTGGCATCCCCAGAGGCTCCCTGGGTCTGTGTCCACTCTGTGCCATGCCAGCGTCCCTTCCAGAGCACGAGCCCGCCTTGGGCCGCTTTTCCTTCCTCAGTATAAGCGTGCAAGCCAAAACTTTTCTGTGCTAGCTGTGCTACACGAGTATTTACACCAGCCGTCTGGAACAAAATGTGCTGCACACAGGTCATATAACTTAGCAATTCATTTCAAATTGCCTAGGAGGATGGTGGTTGCTCAGCACTTAAAAATACCTTAATTTCCTGCTGTTTCCTTTTTATATTTTTTTTTAGTTTTCATTTGTGTTGGTTCACCTTTTTAACTAGGGTATATAAGTTATTGTTTTGTACACAGATCCTCTTAAAATGTTCTCTATAGGTGTATGCTTTTAAGACAAAGCCAGAACTGTGTAATTGTAATGGATGTAATTGATATATTTGTAAAAGAGAAAAATTGTATAGAGAAAAGCAAATAAAGTTCAGAGTATTTTTCTTTGATGAATATTCCTTTAACACATAAAAATAAACATTACTAAAGGTAACAACAAATATTTCCAGACAAATATTGTATGGAAAATAAATGTTTATAATGAAATAAATTGGACATAGACCACCATCATATTATAAACATTTTTATTTAATGTATGACAGTTTTAAAGGTTTGAAAATGAGAGAAATACTGTAGGTTGAAATGAACCGTGCATAAACTTGAACACAAACTGTGCAGCAGGAATGTGAATGTGAGCCAGGAGACCGAAGCGTGCTGAAGTCCACAGAGGACAGCTGACAGAGTTGAGTAATGGTGCTTTATTGTAGCCGGGCTCTGCATATACAAACACCAGGAGCCCACAGGTCAAAGGTGGAGGGCGTGGCCACAAATCTTATCAACTTAAGTGCTCCATCCTAAAAAACAAGAAAGATGTGTGAGTTGATTAACTTAGAACATCTCAGTTTTTGATATATTCCCAGTTCCTTGAACTGGGATTTTGTCCATATGCGTCCACAGTTCTGGCCAGAAGGAGCCCGGTGTTCCCATTATTGCAGTCTCCTGACGGAATTCTTTCAGGGTTCTAGATGTGTTCTGAATGGTAACAGATGATGGTGACGTTTCCATCGTGTGTCAGCGGGAACTGGTCGTTGTTCTAATCCTCTCGTTTCATCAAAGGCAAGCGAGGGTGACTTGGCACAAGCACACGGGGGCTTTCAGAGCGCATGTGACATTGCAGGGATCATCCGTTTTGGAGCCTGGACTCGGAACAGCTGGCTAGGTGCAGGAGTTCAGACAACCAGGTGACCTGACCAATTTATCATGTGCAGTGAAGAGTGAGGGGTTATTGTAGAGCCAGACGTTAGTGAGGTACTGATGTCCTTTCACATGTCTAGAAACGGGGCTGTGGTAAGGGTTTAGTTTTTCAGAATGAAAGCGAAGGTGGTCTTTCAGCGGAGGCGGGTGGTGGGTGAGTTATCTAAAACAGAAACGCTGCACAAGGAAAGTCGCACAGAAGTAAATATTGAGGGTGATTAGTGTTTAGGAAAAGCTATACCTAAAAGATAGATCGATAACGGCAAAGAAAAAAGATACCAACCTATGCGGCTTTTGGACTGCACTCCTCTGTAAGGGAAAAAAAAAATCACAGTCATTATCATCATCATCTTCGTTGTTCTTTTTCTCATCATCCTTGTTGAGGCTGTAAAATGAAGCGATTCAGATTTACCGTTCTGGGGCAGGATGACAATGTTGTCCTTCTCGATGCCCGTGTCCAGGCAGAACTGCTCGAACCTCTGCAGCAGCTCGGGCCTCAGGTCCGGGGTCCTGCCTGTCGGATCACACACCCGGATCAGTGCAGCACGGCCAGGCCGCGAGGCACAGCCTGACCGCTCAGCAAAACGAGTCGCCTCCTAGTTTCACTTCTGCCGTCTTCTCGCTCTGCGAGCTGTCCCTCGTGCTGTGCTGTGCTGTGCTTCCCGTCTGAAGCCTTTTTTGGCCTTGATGTGAATGATTTCGGAATTGTGTCCCACAATTCAATACGAAACGGGAAGAATGCGGTTTGTCGTTCAATGTGATCTGATTTAATTGTGTGCTGACGCATGCCTTCTGTGCATGACGTGAGTGCAGAATAGAGAATAGAAAATCATCCGTGTGATGAAAGGGATATATATATATATCTTAGCTTCTAAGTCGAGTTATTACATCAGGGCCGTGAACTGCGGTAAGCGGTGTGCTTTCCCGTTGCCTTTGTGTGCTTGCAGTGATGTATTCACAAGAGCCAAGCAGGAAAGGCAAAGCCTTTCTCTAGTTTAAACCTGAAGACCTGTCTGAAAGGCTGGAAGTCCAGCCTCCGTGCTAAGGAAGTCCTGAATTTTCACGCCGCATGAACGCTTGATCCCTCTTGGCGAACGTTCCTGGATTTGAATTTCAAGTGTCAAGGAATTGAAGTTTACGCAGCACTAACGCATGCTTTTAAGTCCGAGGTTAACTCCAGGGGGGTGATGTGTGAGTGTCCTGTACAAGCAGTCGAGAAGGGGGGCGGGTCTGCCGTTCTCTTACCGTACAGCTTGTTCAGGATGTCCGTGCGGCCGGCCTTGGTCTTGATTGTGTGGGTCAGGATGTACTCGTCATATTTCGCCTCCACCACTCGCAAGTCATTACTGTTGCCCCAGCCTGCGAAGAGGGACGCGGTACATTTACGCTGCCGGGAGCACGGACACCTGTCTTTCACTCTGGGAGGCTCATGGAGAAACATCTTACAAATCTGTTCTTGACAGTAGGGCAGCCGCACTCTGTCGGCGCTAAGGGCTACATCCCCATCCCCTTCCCCCCTGGTACAGACGGGACACGGACTGGCAGGCAGGACACAATCCAGACCCTTCAGATCTCTGCTAAGGTGCAGATGAATGTGTTGTCTTTTGCTTAGCGTGCCTGACATGAAATGATCCACTTCGAGCTCATGACCTGCTGATGAAGCGCTCGTGCGGTCAGACGCCCGTGGGTGCAGGGCCCCAGGGGACAGGTGCTCACTCACGTTTGCTGTAGTAGGTGAAGCGGCCAGGGGTCTCTGTCTTTTGGGCCAGGTGGTTCATTTCCCAGCAAGTGCCGTCTGTCCTGCAGGGAACAGGGAGAAACGGAGGACTCGTTTACCCGTCCCGGGACAGACAACCACAGATTCCTCCGGTCTTGACCGCTCTGGTGCCGACTATGGCTTAAATAATTACTCGGGTTAGCTTGAAAGCCTCTCTGTGGGACGAGACAGAAGAACACGTGTTGTTTCTGCTTTAAGCTCTCCGCTTCTAAAGAGCTTGGACTTTCTGCTTTAAATGTAAAGACCTTTTAGCCAGTATAGGATGCACCATGATGGCAGCACAATGCTCTCGACGCGAGAGAACGTTTTTCTTACTAGATTAGCCTCTAATTATATACATCCTCCGGTTTATAGGTGAGTCCCAGGAGCATGGGCAGAAATGCCTTCTAAAAGCCGGAATGAGCGACGGAGAAACTGGCACAAAAGGCAAAGAGGAGATGAAAGATGGGCAGCCTGGAAAGTCGGCCCACAAGCATGCCAGCCCACTCAGACATGCCCCTGTAAAAACACCAGAGCACGGTCGGACCTCGTGGAAGACTGCAGAAGCATGCTGCACCGGAGAGGGAGCGTGCCTGTGTGGTACTCACTTCCTGCTGCTGTAGCTCATGTCCATGTCCCCCTCTGCTGTGGGGGTCAGCACCATGGTGCCCTGCTTCATGTCCGCCTTCTTCGACACAAACCAGTGGGCGTTGGTGGCAAAACCGATCAGGTGCCACTTCCCCGCGCACTGCCCGGGAGATGCACTGGTTAGTAACACGCGTGAGGAAACTCTCACCTGGGCTGTGTGTCATCTCCAGTGAGCAGGACACAACCGCCCATAATCCCAGGGTGCAAACCTCCCGGAGGATATGGCAACCACTTCAGCTTTTCAAAAACTGAAGAGGGAAAAGACTGAAGCAATTCGTGCATTTATTTATG